AAGACTATAAAATTGTATTGCAAGCTTTTAAGAAAATCGATTATAGTAACAAATGGAGTTCAATTTGTAGTGTTATCTTTGGAGAGTATGTGCGCTTCCTTTTCAAAATCAAGAACCTGAGTTCTACATCCGGTCGAGTGGCAAAGAGAGTTCTTAATACATTGTGGGCGCACTCTACCAGAAAAAGAGAACGCACAAGATTCTCTCGACAAATCAATCTGGCCCTTTTGCATTTCTAGAGAACTAAGTTCTCAACTCGATCATAGCAATACGTATGAATTGGTAAGCATAATTTCGGAAAAGGATGTTTACCTGAAGCGAAATTAATTGATGACAATAATATTATTATATTAACGATCATTGATGACATTGCCATAGAAATTACTTTACCTTTACCAATTCATGATAGTTTTAAATTAAATGGGTGGTTCTAAGTTTAGCAGGTAATAAGTTGAGTCTTTTGAAAATTGAAATATGGTGTTGAATTATTAACATTTGCAATTAAAAAATATAATTTAGAATTGATAAAGAATATCTACAATAATTGTATGAATTATTCTTAAGAACAGTAGAATATTTTTGAGCATTATTACATCTACAATGCAAGGTATATTGAGAGATATTCATTAATTATACTTACGGTATAGAGGATGATGATTTTATCACTTTTCAAAATCAATACCCTCGTAATACAGATGAGGATGGTAATTTCAAGATCCTCCACAAATGGTTAATTTATTTCGAAGTATGGTTATCAACGAAGGAGAAATCAAAGCCAACAGGTAAACCAAATGTTACTTTTATAGTTCCTTTTACAAATATACTATGTACAGTATATACCCTCAACTTTCTCTAAAAAAACACTCCCTTATTACTTTCTCTATAAGAAAACTCTCTCCATACTACTTTCCATAAAAAAAAACTCAAGTTATCAGACTTTTGTTTGTCGAAAATAATTCTGAAGAATCGGATAACACAAGCAATTCTAAAGAATCAAGTAACACGTCACAAAAATGGTTGTATTACCATATATATTGTTTCAATTAATAACCAAAGTAAAAGTCACAATAAAAAAATCTTAGTTTTGAAATCCTTATATGGCAAATTTCAAGTGGATATCAACCATTCCGACAATATTGTCTTGTCATAATGATAAAAGGGAAAAGAAAAAATGTTAAAGGTACACTTATTGAGTATACTGTATGTACAAGTAACATTTAAATAATGTGTACATTAAAAATATGATACCATGAATGAAGAAAATGGTGAAGGATACAAGGAAGATATCAACAAAATAAATAATACTGAGAATTGTTCAAATCTTTGTATATGGGCAAGAAGGAATATGAAAGAAAAGAGAACTGGATTTTGAAGATGTTTTGCAAGTTCACACAAAGGAACTAAGAAAAATGAATACGGACACGACCTCCCAGATTAAACTTTGAAATCAGTATAGCACAAAAAATTTTAGAAATATTCAAAATGTATGTTGTAGAAATATTTGATATCTGCAGAGTTTTCTACTGTATAACTGTCTAAATGTTTCTTGTATAATGATTGATATTTTATATTCTTATAAAATATCTAATAAAGAAACGCGTGTATATATTAATAAAAATAAAAAAATTTTCATCTAAAAAAAAATGAAAATATTTTCTTTGAAAAAAATAAATTCTGACGTTTCTGATATTAAACTGTCAAACAAGAAAAAAAAAGAATGAATAATTGCAAAATTTTTTGGAGAAAAAATCTATTTATATATTAACTTTTGATTTAAAAAATAAAAGAACGATTTTCTTTTTATTTAGTATATAAAAAATTTTCAAAGTATGTTGAATAAAACAAAAATGGCAATATTAAGAAAGCAAATAATTATAATCTTGTTGTGAAGATGATGTAGAAATTATAAGTGAAGGTTTAGTTTCAGTTGTGGTTTTATTGGTAGTTGTTTTTATTGATAAAAAATTATCATAAGGTGGAGGAAGTTCTTCATCTTATAAGCTGTTAAGGATATCTTTTAAATCAAGTAAATTTTCCATTTTATTTCTTGAAAAATACTTGTCTTTGAATGTTTCCGGAACATTTGAGAAAAATTTGTGATAATCTGGTAACAAATAACCCATTAAGCTCATGTTAGGAAAGTGAGTTATTGTGTTTCCATTATATCCAAATCGAATATATTCTATTTGCTATATGAATCAATAAATAAGATTATATTTTGAAAGGAAATTAATCGAATAAGTAAATAGGAACATACCATTTCAATGGAATTTATTTCAATTGAAAGTTGAAAAATTTTTATTGAAGTCTGATATTCTATCCAACCTAACCCCTCAAGTTTGGATACATCTTTATGTTTTAAAATATAATCTTCTCGATAATTCTATAGTTAAGTTAATATTAATTTAAAATTAAATCAAATAATAGAGGTTTTAATTAATTAACTTACGCTATTGGGTATAAATTTTATAAAGCAATCCTTAGATAATATTTTTTTAAGATTCATTTTACAAACGAGATAATTATTAAAATAATAATAATCTAGTATAGGCAGTTTCAAATGAAGATTTTCATTTTTAGAAGACATTACCAGCCCTGATAAACTTTAATTTTAAAATTATGATTAATTGACAATTTGAATTAAATTATTATTATGAGTAGACTTTACCTGCTTATATCACTTTCTTGAAATTGACAAAGTTCATTATTCAAATTTGTAAGATTTGAAACAAAATATACTTCATGCTCTAATGAGTTTAAGATATTAATTATCATTAACTTAACTAGAAGATAATAAATGATTTGAATATTTTCTTACTTTTATACATATATTTACTAAATTCATCGACAATTCCAAATTTGGTAAAATCATTTTTGTTAATTTCACAAACTTCATATAAATATGACCAAAAATCTGGATAATCTTGTATAAAATAACCAATAAATGCAAATCCATTATAATTTAAAACTGGGTTTGCTTTACTATACTCTTTTAATTCAATATAAATTTTGCATTCAATAAAATGTAGTAAATTATTTTCATAAATATTATAACTATTGAGAAATTTTGTTAAAATATTGTTCAAATCTTTAGAACTATTTTTATTTAGTAAGTATTCTAGGTGAAATAACTGAATCTTCGCTAAAATATTATCAGAAATCAATAATTCTGCACACTTTTTAAATGATACTTTAGCATTGTTATTATCATTCTTTGTATAATATGTTAAACATTTAAGATAATATGCTGAACTATTTAATGGATCTAATTGTATGATTTTATCAAGATCTGATAGTACTTTATCATATTCCCCAATAATATAGTATGTAATAGCTCTCCTATTCAAGTTATGAATGTTTTCTGGATCTATAATATAAGCTTTTGTAAAGTATGATATAGCTTTTTTATATTGTGTCATATTATATAAAATTTCTCCATAATAACATAAAACCAAAAAATCCTCCTTATTGATATTTAATAACTTATCTAATAAATTTAAAGTATTTAAATAATCTCCTTCTTTTTCATAACTGTATGCACAATTTTTAAGGCATAAATAATTATTTGGATCATTTTTTAATGCAATATTATAATTTTCTATATCTCCATTATAATTAATTAATAAATAACTATTTCCGAGTAATATATATAAGTTATTTATTTTTGATTTATATTTCAATGATTTTTTTAGATTATCTATTGCTTCATCATATTTATTTTGTCTAAAAAATATTTCTCCACAAATAAAATAAGCAACTGGTCTTTTGGGATTTAAATCAATAGCTTCTTTTAAAAATAAGTGTGCTTGTTCGTAATTGTTAAGACATCTATAAATATACGATAAAATACATCTTAAAGAATAACTTTTAGGAAAAAAATTTATAAATTCTTTGCATAAAGATTCAGCTTTTTCATAATTTTTTTCATTTATTTCTTTTATAATATTTTGATATGTTGGATGTTGTTTTTTTGTAATTCTTGAAAGTATTGGGGATAATATTTTTGAATTTAATTTAACAATTGAATTCATAAATTTCTTTTTTTTAGTTAATATGAGTTCAACTTCCGGATTATCTGAATCATCACTATCATATAATTGATCAGAATTTTCCAATTCAATTGAAGGTAAAATATGTCCAGATTCAAAAAATTTTGTATATAAATTTTTATAAATTGAATTTTGTGGTAAATATCTAATATCGTTATCTTCAATTTTTTCCCGACAATTAGGACATATTTTTTGCTTTAATTTTTTTAAATTGCTTAATGCTAACATATGTTGGCATTTTAAAACACATAATTGATCTGTTGGTTCACTACTAATTGGACAAGTAATTTCATCTGCTATAACATCTAAAATGTTAGAATTTGATATTTGTTCTTTCTTTAAATATGAATTTTGATTTGAGTTTTTTCCTTTTCCCTCTTTTTCTTTTCCAGTATTATTACTTAGAATTTTTAAATCTTCAAGATATTTCTCTTTAACAAAAGTTAATAAATTTTGAAAATTTTCTAAAGAACCTTCTAAATTATTTTCACTTAATTTTTGCATGTATTGATCAAAATCAATTTCAATCATTGAAAACATTTTATTATCAATATTATATAAATGTAATAATAATTCAATAGATTTAAACTGAATAAAACTGCTTGGTGCTTTATTAAGTGATTCAATTGCTAAATAATAACAAAGACCATATGTTGCTATTCGAGATGATCTTTGGATAAGATTTTGTACAAGATCTAATATTCCAAACCACAAAGTATGTGGTAATGCTATAGGTTCATTTCTAGCAAGTTCATTTAGAAAACCTCCAGCATTTTTCAAAGCTTTAGCGACTTTATTTGATACTTCATCAAATTTTGTTTGAGAATCTAAAATAGATTTGTCCATAGAATCAACCATTCTCTTTCCAAAAAACTCTAAATATATTCCATTAATACCAACTCTCCAAATTTTTTACTTATAATTTTTTCAGAACTTCCAGACCAAATGAAAAGATTGTGTTGAATTATTAACATAATTCTCCAATCTATATAATAAGATGCTACTGGATATTTAAAACTTAAACTTTGACGTATTTGAGTAAGTATTGATAAGATTGAACAATCATTTGGAAGATTGACTCCCGCTATTGTCAGAATTCCTGGTGTAATATTCAATGCAGTCTTAAGCAAGTCTCTAATTCTTCGTATAATTTCTTGAAACCAAGTTTCATCATCACGTAAACTATGAAGAGTATCTCGTAAATGGATTAATAAAAAATCAATATTATAATTACGCTTTTTAATCGCAATTTGATAATTATTTTGTTGATTGAATTGATTAAAACGTGATCTAAAATTATTATCAAGACCTATTTCGATAACCTGAGTTGTTTTACGATGAATTTCTGCAAATTTTGCCAAAGAATTATAAACTTTATCTCGAAGTTCTTTACTAAGTACTATTGGTGAAAAACATATCCGTTCTAAAACAGTAACCAAAATTCTTAAATGTAATTCCAATCTAGCTACACTTTCTTTTGAATAATGCCTAAAAGAAGTATCAACTAAAGCTTCTAATGAATTTTCTAAAACTTGTGACGAAAACTCATTTTGTAAATTCTCAAAAAGTAATTTAAGTGCATACAAATAACTTGATTTAGTTAGATTTTTTAAAAATTCTTCTACTTTGTCATCTGGAGTAATGAATCCATCCTCTTCTAATTTAAGAAGGATACGATTGTTGGACATATTTTCATACAGAATCGTTTTATATGAAACAGGGTCGTTATTTTCTAAGCTACCAGAAGCAGTATTGGTAGATGAATTTCTACTCTGTTATTATATAAAGTTAGTTTTAATGATATGCACTCAATTAATTAAATTTTATATTGTTTAAAAAATAATTTACCTGACTTGAACTTCCTTCCATATTTTTTATTACAAAAAGAAGTAATAAAAAATTTTATTATATCGACAGAATTAAGTAAAAATGTATGTAATGAATTTGTACTCATTCAAGAGTGTACTAGTGTACTACTATTTAATGAAAATTTGGGCGTAAATTCTAAGTGCTGATCAGTGCGATTTCATTGGATATTCTTTTCTTTCTCTTTTTTTAGTACTTTATTTGCTAGAGAAAAAAAAAAAAATTCTTTTCCCGCAGACATACAATTTGTAAATACCAAGAATGTAAATTCTATAATCTATATTAACTTTACTATTTATGCTAACTAGGATATTGTAAACTTTATTTATCGTTCCTCTAATTTTTCTAAGTTACAAGTTACTAGTAGCTAGAAGTATTGATAAAATAATTTCCACTCTATATTATATAAAATAAGTTTTCACGATTTGCAATTAATTTTAATATTGCTTAAAATATTAATTTACCTAACTTGAACTTCCTTCCATATTTTTTTTATTACAAGGAAATATTAATTCTATATCAATCAAAATGTATGTAGCACGATAACGTGCATTTGTACTTCCAACATTTCATTCAGAAAAATGCACCAACATCCGATTCAAATGTAAAAGCTTGTAATTTATGCAAATTCTAAACGCTGATCAGCATGATTTATTCTCGAGTAATCATTGGATATTATTTTTCATTTATTAATAAATAAAACATAAATTCGAATAATATGGTAATTAGAAAATTTGGTAATTGAACGAGTGAAATATTTATAGGTGAATTTATTGAAAAAAAGCGATTAATAACTTAATTGACAATGTAATATTAAAAAAAAATCGAAGATTTACATAAAATTGTTAATAAAATAAAAAATGAGAAAATCTCTTGAGGAATTAAAATTATAGTGATTTGTTATCGCTCAGATTAGAATTTGAGGCGATTAATTTATTTTTATTTGTTAAGTCCGGGGTGGGTACACAAGTGTGACTAAATGAGCCAATCTCAATTTTTGAGCAACGGACATCTTTGTAAAGCTCATCTTGTAAGTTATATTAATAAATATTAATAACGTTTCCATTTATTTTATTTTTATTTTTATTTTATCAAATGTTCCCGTGACTCTTTATTTATTAATTATTTCGCGTAATTATAAAAACATAATTAAGGTTAAGGCCACTCACCCGTCCTGTAGATGCGAACATTTTTATAAAATAAAGTATGAAACACAAACTTTACTCAATCTTCAAACCAAGTTAGTATTAGTTATTATTAGCAAATTCACCAGATTTTGATTTCACATACGTTTCATAAAATAAAGAAAATAAAGTCATTTGACCACACTTAATAAAAATCTATCTTGACGGTAATGATTCAAAATTAAATTTCATGGGTCTTTAGCCCTGTTTATGTATTTTTTATGATCAGACTATTAACAAAGTTAAAAAAAAATATTTTTTCTTTTTGGTCGTATGTGTTTGTTTATTTGATAAATAATTGGCCAATCAAATTTTAAAAATAAATCACGTGATAAGGTGCGTTCGAGCAGTATCGTTAATGAAAAAAAAAAATGAAATAACTGCTACTGTGCTAGGGATTGGAATCGATAATCGAGTCAAAATCGAATCTCATTTGTTGAAGAAAAAAATTGAAATTAAGCAAAAAAATTAATTTAGCATTGCATCCAAAATTAAAGTGCATGATTTAAAATATTTTCAAAAAAGAAAAATTGAGCCTTCAAAATGATGAAATGATCGGCAAATGATCGGCAATGATGTTATAGAATTTACAGCTGGGTATTAGTAACGATATATTATTTCTTAGTAGATTTTACAATTTTAATTCAGAATTTATATATTTACTGATCATGGAATTAATTATCAAAGCTTATCTTTTAAGGAACAAAAAATCGAATCTACAAAGATTCGATAATCGATTCCCATCCCTATACTGTGCTGTATATTTTAAATAGACATTATTACATAGTAATTTATACTTATAATTAATATGCATGAAACTATCCTTATTCATATTATCTGTTATTATTTTTTCTGTTAACAATAATAAATTGTTAAATTATTATTTTAGTTATTATCAATAAGTCAATATGATTACTCGCCCAAAATGAGTAGTCAGATACAGGTCTTAAAAAAATTGATGAAAGCAATTAATTATAAAAGAAAATAAAATAAAATAAAAAAGTACATGTGCAACGCCTTTTACTTTAATTATCAACTGTCGTTTCTATGTATGATGCCATGATTGTTAAATAGTTTTCTCAATTCTGATTTCGTAATACTTTAAAGAGAATTTCAGTAATTTTAGATCTTACTTTTGATAAAATTTCTTCATCATTTAAAGTCTAGTTGAAATGGAAACTAGCGGTTAAAAAAATTTTGTACTTACTGCTATGGATGGGGACGACTCGGTTTCGGTTTCACGAACCGAAACGAGTCTGACCGAACTGAATTTGCGAAACCGACTCCTGTGTCATAACACATACAAAATTGGATAGGTTAAATCGGAAAAGCTTTTTTTCTATATCATACTCCATTCTAATTCACGTTCTAATGTCTTAGTTTTTTGGGATCATGACATTTTCGGAGACAAAAATTCAATATATTGTTAGTCTAGTATTAGCCATTGGGTTCATAAACAAAAAATCAAATTTAATCACATTCAAGTAATGCAATTATGTGCTGTATTGAGTAATGCGCAAGTTATACAGAGATTACGTAATCAATTACATTGTAGGTATTTTTATTAACATATAAATTTTCACTGATATTATGAGCGAGATATATATGTTAGTGAACGCAATCAAATTTTTCGTTATTGTAATGAGATGTTTATCTTGTGGATCTAAAAGAAAAAGAAAAATAGTTATAAAAAAGAAAGTAAAAAAAAGAGCCGTTGCACCCGTAGTACAAACTTCAAATTCAGTAATAGTCCCATTCGCCTACACCCCATGCCACATTCTTAGGTTCATCCAGTCTATTCTCAAAATAATTTCCGAGTGACCATAATAAAAAATTAATATGATCCCAATCAAATATGCGACCGTAACAGTCAAGAAAAAGCATTCCGTAGTCACGTTCCTCAACAATGATGATGTAATTAAAGCAAAACTCTTTAATACACTCCATACCATCAGTAAGATCAGTAATTTCTAATTCTTCACTTTCACTCAAGATATTATGATAAACAGAAGTTGCCGATGACGGTCATAGATCTTTTCGACTAACATGAATGAACTATTACGTGCATCTGATGAATTATATGGTCCATTACCTTCTGGCATATTATACATGGGGGTACGGCTTGCAATTTTTTGCGTAAGGAAACACAAGATGACATGGCGTCGTCGGTTCCCTGTTGTCCATGTACTAGTACAGTCCCCCAGCGATGGTTATTCTTCTTTTGTTAGAACAACATTCAAACGACCACTGCAACGCTGGTTTTCCACTGGACCGACGCCTCTTTTACCAGGTAAATAAAAAATCCAATTTCCATTATATTATCATAATTGAAATTTACATTTATCATGTCATAATCATCACCAAAACCATATTTTAATTCTTTATATTTATCATGGCAATTGTGATATTCGCGTTCGCGCATACGATGTATGAAATCATTTTATTCTAATTTATTGATGTTTTTTTTTAAACTTCAATGATACTGAATTTACTTATTATATTTAGGTTTGTGCTTGCTCAGAAATGCCACGAATATTAAGACTAAAGATTCTACATTTGATTCTTGGGCTGTTGATTTATATACTTTTATTGCTAGTATATTCCTTGTAATCGTTTTACAAAATATGTTGGTTACTTATAAGCTTTTTTTTGGCAATTTAGTATTTAATAATTTTGATTGCTTATCTTTTAGTGGAGTATATGAAGAAGCAACGGCTAATAGATTGATAGTACAATAAATAAGCTGGTTTGAAAATTATTATTAATATTTGCGTTTATTATAAATTTTCACTACATTCTGGATCGGTTTATCTTTTTTGTATATGTGTATATGTTTACATGTTTCACATTTTTTCGCATATCTCAAATTTCAAACAAAAGATCATGAAAATTAATTCAAATGTAAATTATTATTTAATTATAAAAAACCTAATTGTCATAATTTTTTAAAAATTGTAACAAAAAACAAAAGTAAAATGACGAACACACTGCGCATATTAATTATTTCTAGTTTGTTATTGTCCTACAAAATTAAAGAGCACCGATGTATGGGTAACACGACAGGTCTCTTACCTTGTTTACTTTCGTCTGTCATAGAATTATACTGTGAGAAAGGAATAAACGGATAATCAGCAGAAAATTACCTACAAAAAAAGCACCGATGTATGAGTAACACGGGTCACTGTAACGATTAATTAGCAAAAGGGAATTTATAATAGTCTATCAAGAAAACGAATAGGAATTAAGGAATTTAACGTCACCCTTATTAGGGACCGCCAATCAGATACAACCACCCCACTTAACATACTTTCCTCCAACCTCCATTAAAATATGCGTATGAGGATCCTTATCATGGTCCTGCCATGTAAGAGAAGATTTTGCGGCACCCTCATTATAATTTAACCATTAAATTATAATAATTCGGTATCCTGAGATGACGCATGTGTTAACAGTAAGGAACAGGTCTCTCACCTTGTTTTACTTTCACCTTTATCAAATCACGTAAAGGAAATTGTAATTCGCAATTATATTCTTTAAATCCAAAAAGTAATTTCTAAATCCCAAGTTGTATCTACAAAGGGAAGGACTTAGGTAAAGATATTACGTAGGGAATCCATTTTAAATACACGAGAAGATGTAGAAACATGAAAAAAAAATTGCATAGAAAAGTAGAAGAGATCTTTCTCCCTTCTCGACTCTTACTTTTTTCTTCCCACACTTGTCATCTCTCTCTCACATACTTCCTTTCCTCCATTGATAGATCGAATTTTGAAGTTATAGTCACTTTCTCTCTTTCTTTTGAACGGCAAAGAAGAAGCAGAATAGAGGCCAGAACGAAATTTTTTAACCAAAATTTAATTTATGGTAAGAGCTGTACGTAGGAAAAGAAAAGGAATCCATTTTAAATACAGGAGAAGTGGTAGAAACACGAAAAATTGCGTAGAAAAGTAGAACGCCTCCTCTTATTTTTTTTTCTTCCCACTCTTGTCACCACTCTCTCACATACTTCCGTTTCTCTCTTTCTCTCTTTCCACTTATATACTCTTTTGACCAGCAAGAAGAAGCAGAATAGAGGTTGGATCATCACACTCTTGTTGTCTCTCTCACATATTTCCTTTCCTCCCTTTCTCTTTCTTTCGACCGGCAAGGGAGAAGCGCAGAATAGTGGCTAGACCAAAATTTTTTAACCAAAATTTAATTTATGGTAAGAGCCAGAGGTGAAATGTAAGGAATATTGAAAATTATTGCGAAAGTTTAGAGATGGGATTGTTTAGAGATGGGATTTTGAGGAATTAATTAAAAGAATAGGTCTTTTTATAATATTTTTAGTTGTACAAACTCTTTGTAATACAATATAGACTTTTCTCTTATTGTTATCAGTAAATGTGACTGTGATTAAATATAAAAGTTTACGGTATATCTTATGATCTTATGATGTGAAAGTTTGCATATGCAATGACTCACTGCAAAACTTTTCGTATGAAAAATTTTTTCAGTCAATACAATTTACCGATATTCAATATACAGATATATATATTATAAACTCGATATAATAATAAAATTTTGCTTTCCCACTATATGAGAGAACATGTACATATCGGTAATATCTGTATAATTGGATATGACGATATTATTCAATGATATTCACATGGGGCCCAGCATATCGCTATATCGGAGTTGACTGTATGATAATCATGAAAAAGTTTGTTATTTATATTGAATTATTATAATTATTATCTATATAAAAGCTATATTATTAGTATAAATTATTGTGATTATCGAGAACATCTATCGATCTTAAATCATGATAAACGATAATTTTAAAAAGTATTTGTCATAGAGAAAATGAAGAAGTTGATTATTTATTTATTTTATTAAAATATTATCATAATAATAATATGAAGTTTATTTTACTTTATTAGTTATTTAATATTAAAAGTACCGTACATTTCATCGCTTGTTTTCATTATCGAAATATATTTGCAGATCGCCATAGTTTTTCGTTTTATGGTTTATTTTTGTATTTATTGCTTATTCGCATTTATTTCAATACATTTATTGTTACAAACTTTCATTGATAAGGCGGTATAACACGTTTATTTCATTATTTTATTCTGTTACTATCGAGTGGCTGCGATGCAAAATGATGGTAAAGTATCTATTTACTTTAAATGATGCTAAATTTTACAAATACTTACCAGACAATTGATTTTTAACCAACCAAAATCTTCCTATTATTTAGTCACCACTAATCATTTTTTTTCTGCATTTTAAATATTACCAGGTGCGCTGAAGCTATCTATTCCATCAGTCACCACATCTACCACCATTGTTGTATTTCGATGAAAATAAAATTAATAAAAACCATTGGCACTAAATAAAAGGTAAAAAAGTGATAATAAGCATATTAGAATTTTATCACATTTATTTAAAAAAAGGTGTGAAATTTATTCAATGAACGTAGAAAGAGCAATTAAGTAATTGTATGCAAATCAAAATGATATAACAAGAGTAAGGAAAAAAATAATTGAACAAAATAAGGATTAAAGTACTGCAAATCAACTTCGTGTCGATAGGATCTTATACCACCATCATTAATAGGTGAAGAGTAGGAAAAATAACTTCGAGCAATAACACTTCATTGGACACCGTGATTGAGCGTCAATAATGGCTTCATGGTGTACGTCTATGAAAATATTTGGACGCGTTATAATATAACTCCCGCCAAGACAGGTCTTAAAGTCTTTAAATCTGACCCTGTTGTTGCTTGTAAGAGGTTCTGAAAGATCTTTCTTGGCGTATAATTAGGAAGATCAAATGGCTAATGTGCGTTTAACGATATTACGATAATCACCCTTGCTTGTACAAACAAGTTATTCGGCGATCTCAAAAAGATATATCTACAAAACCTTCCATTCAATTTAATCCCGTGAAAAAAAAAAATTTTTTTTTTTTTAATGATTAATACTATTATCCCATCAATTTATTAAAAAAATTCCATTTTCTTTATTTTTTATAAATAAAATGGCTAAAAAAAAAATAAATTTAAAAATCAAAAAAATACATCTTACATATATTTATGAACTAATATAAAAATATAGACAAATAAATAAGAAAAAAGAAAAAAAAAAATACAAGAATATAATAATACAAGTAATAAATTTCTTAAATAAAAAAATTTTTTTTTTCCACAAATGCGGAACGCAATAATTTTACCATTTACCATATAATTCCACGGTTTTTCATCATTGTTAGAAATTTCGACATATAAGTTTCCGTAAATGATGAAAAATAAAACTATTGAAAAAATAAAATAAATAATTTAATTTATATAAATAATTATTAGATTCATAAAATTAAATTATTGAAATTTAAGATATACTTACTTCATGTTCAGAACTATGATTTACAACAAAATTATGTGCTAATTCGTGACAAAATGTCATAAACCAATATGTCATGGCATCATTTGTAGGTCTAATTTTACAATCTTGTTCGTGTAACGCGATATAATAGCTTAAATTGAAAAATAACGCTCCATCACGATTGAATGCAATTGAACTTGAGTTGTTATCATAAAAAATATGAACAGCTTTCGGTACAAGTTCAAAAACGTTCGCAATATCTCTTAATATATCTATAAAATGATTTAATTGAACAGTAACTGATGGGGACATGATTTCTGGTTGATAAATTTTAGTATCATATAATTTAATATCACGTATAGTTCCAACGTGAGATAATAAATGGCCTAAAAAACGCAAAATAAACCAATTAATATTATATAATTAATCAATTTTTAAAAATCAAAAATATTAAGTGTTTTATACCCGGTATAATATCACAATAACTTGTTTTGCTTTCATTAACAATTGTAACATTAGCTTGGCTAATAATACCATTAATATTTCCTACATTTAAATTACAAGATCTAATAGAATCACGTAAAGAATTTCGTAATCTTTGAGTAGATGCAGGAGTCACTATAACTATTTTTTTTTCAACATTTACAGTGGATTGTTGAAACGCATATCGTAAATTTTGTTGCTTTAATATGTGATCAACCGGATATCCCTTACGTTTTAAAGTTGTTAATTCTTCAGTTAAAAGCACAGATACACTAAAAACATTTTTCCATTCAAATTTTTTATAAATGCTCTTGACTATTTGTTCTGCAATATCAAGTGGAGCAGGTTTAGTTGTTACGTACATAATATCTTGAAGAATACAAGCACTAGTATGTCTTCTTTTAACTATAGTATTATTATCTAATGTAAAAGTTGTCTCCATATAGCTAGCCTCTTTAACTTTCAGTCTTTTAAACCATTCAATACTTTTTTTAGGGTCAGGATGTTCATAGTAAAACAAACTTGCTCTCTCCATGATTTTTTCTTCTAATTCTTCAGTTTCTGGATCAAGATTATTCTGTCGAATACCTATTGGCCTTATAATTTCTTGTACAGAATCATGTAAGGATCTACATCCCAATTCCTAAAAAATATATATATATATAACAATGAAAATACTTCATATACGTAAAATAGAGTCAATTGAAAGACTTACACTATACAAAATTTTCATATAATGATCACTTTCTACCGGAGCTGTAAATGGTTCAAAAACTGGTTGATATGCACTATTGTCGTTTATAAAAATGTCTTTCCCTAAAGCCAAACTAGAAGTTTCAATCCCATTGCTACGTTTCTTAACACCTATTAAAATAGGTGATTTTTTCATTACTGCAATTAAACTTGGTTTATCTATAGTACTAAAATTAAATGCAATTTTTCTTAAAATATCCAAGTATTTTTCCAAATTTCCCAGTGAATTGTACACTTCACGTGATGAACTTACTAATAATTCAGCAAGTTCGGTTGCAGCTGGTTCGTTTTTAACACCGCAAGTTTGAAGAAATATTTTTGCTTTACTTCCAAAATCAATGCATGAAAAGAAATTTTTCAATCTAAATATTAAAATATAAAAAATTCTTTTGTTATTTTAAACTCCATAAAAAAGATTTACACAAAAATTACAATTATATACGTACTCTTCTTGAACACTAAAAAAACAATTGCGTGGACTGGCAAGAGTTATTTTAGCTCGAGAATTTTTCTTTATTGGGATAAATTTTAAATCAGTTAAAGATTTAAAATCATCATCGGTAAAAACTGTTTGTCGTGATGCCAAATATTCAAAAATAGTCTTCGCCTTATTTTCATGTCGTGGTGGTTCTTCGTTTAATCTTTTTAAGAGTTCTTCACGACTAGGATGCTGTCGAACACCAAATCGTTCTACTTGAAACCGTAAATCTTGACTTACAGCATTGAATTTCATTATTGTGCATTCAGAACTAATGTAACATTCTGAAGGCTTTGCATAAGTACCTCGATTCGAACAAGGTAAGAATGCAATATCAACTTGAGGATCATAATCTCCAGAATACTTTTCTTCAAAATTATTAATAAAATATCTGAGAGCCTTGCTACGAATTTTGAGATTTGAATGATTTGCCGCCAGTTCCAGAATTTTCATAAGTGTAGGATACTCTTGCAAACCCAATCCAATAATAAATTTTCCTACAATAAAAAAAAAAAAAGAAAGAAAAAAAATATTTTTTTTTTTTAGGCAAAATAAATAAATTTGCTGTACTTACAATATATATAAGAAATCAACATTTACCTTCATGTGATTGACTAGCCCATTCTCCTTTCCAATCAAGCAGAGGTAAACCAAATTCACGATGTATATCCGAAGGTGTATGCAAAGATCTCGCGACAAAACGTTGTATTTCCCTAGATTCACCTTTTTTAGACCGTGATGAACTTTTTTCTATAGGCCAGATGGGTTTGTCCTTTAATATCATTATTTCATTTTGTTTAAGATTACTTGACATTGAAGAAAGATATTTTGCGAGTTGTATATGATCCCAATTTCCTTGACCAACAAGGCGATCAAAAATAAGTTTCAATTCAACAACCTATAAATAAATTTCAGAATTAAATTTAATTATCATAAAGTAAACTAAAAGTATAATTATTTTTACCTTTCGAACACCCAATAGTTCCAATATATTTTTAAGGGTTGTAGTTTCTTCTAAATCGATAGTAGGTAAGTCAGAAAATAGATCAACTTCTTTAAAATAAGCTTCATTTGGAATCTTCATTCCGAATTTTGTTGGAATACATTTTTTACGAGCAAATAACTGTTGAATAATTTCCTTGTCAGTTTGTGAAATATTACTTAAACCCTCTCCTAAAATTTGAATAACTTTCTTAGCAAATGTAGGGTCGCGTTCCAGATCAGATTTTTTGACAATAAACTTTGCCCAATTAATCAAAGATAATTCTGACCATCCAGCCAATTTTTCAAGATCTTGCTTTTTTAAGTTTTTGGATATATTAAATGGCAGTACATCAACTGGAACATCCATTTCTGAGGGGATTACTGTTGGGTTCAAAAAATAACGAATTGTATTTAAAGATCGAGAGTTATTTCCAAAACGTGCAAGTTGCATAAACTGCGAAATTTCCGTTACTCTAACAAAAGATCCTCTTGATCTATAAGAAATCCACCATTTCAAAAGGTCAGTCATTTCGTCTTCAGAAAGTGTTCGACTACTTAATTCATGAAAGACATCTTGAAGAGTCAATTCCTTTATAAGTTTCATCGTATCTCTTGCTTTCTTAAAAAATGTGTAACACTGATCGAATACAATCTTCGGAACAACTGGAATGGTTTTTATGAATCCTGCCATTGCTGGATTTGGAATACGAACATTAGATATTGGAAGAACGCCATTCGTTGACAAAATTGGTAATATATTTTTCGAACAATTGAAAAATTGTGATTCCGTTATTATTCCAACTTGCGCATTTGGTGTACTTGGATTAAACGCAAAATGTGTTAAGGCGTATATTGCCCAGCTTTCAAGATATCCACGGATAGACTTTATATCTTCATCATTGTTCGTATTATTAGTGATCTTTTCATTAAAAGCCCATGCTATTTGATCCATTTCATTTTCATATAGAATTCTGCACAATGTTCCTGCTAAACGTAACATTTCGCCGTTGTATATAAGCAGAGTTTTCTCCACCAAGTCGATTGATTCTCGATCCACCTAAATAAAATAAGTTCTATACGTTAGAAAATAAATAGAATTATCTATTTAAAAAGATAATATATACGTACAGTAGGAATTACACGAGCCGCTAAGTGAGAGCAACATCCGGTAGTTTGATGAGTCGGAAAACCAATATATATCTTTCCTTGTCCGGGATATGGAAGTAAGTCTTTAAAAATTGGCGAAACATCCGTATTACAACTACCATCTTCATCAACCCCAGTATAAATCATTTGAATAATCGTTTTACTTGGTGGTTTCTTTTTTGTAACCCTTTCCATTTCTGAAGAAATCTCATCGCTAACGTTAACATCTAAATTTCCATTGACAACTCTAAGAAATATAGATGCTTCTTCTATTTGAAGATCGTTTGGTAACGAAATCCATTGTCTTAAGCTCATATTTGTCGGAATCACCAATCTTTTCATATATAGTTGAACACATCTAACATTTGCTAAGGTAAGATTAAATATCTTTTGTGGAGAAAACGTATTGAAATCGGGCGTAATATTTATTGGTTTCGGATCTTGCATTTTCTTTGACAATTGCATTGCCAATATATCATTAACATATACAAGCACGTCTTGAAGATTTCCTGTAAATCCCTATTACATTTAATAAAATAAAAAAGTATAAGTGCATATATACACATATTAATAATTATATTATAATAGCATTTATAAGCTCACCAATGAATTTGTTAAGAACCGTGCGAATTTTTCAAGATCTGGAATCTAATTAATGTATTAGAAAAAAAACATGCCGTCAAATATTAATTAAATATAACGATAAATATATCAAATATATCAAATATATCTTTATATTAAATATTTACTTCTAAAGGTTCCCTCATGTCCATTAAAAATGTTGTCCAAACTTTATCATCATCACCAGTTTGTGCTTGTTTTACAAATAATTGGTTTCCACGCCAATAGAAAGCCATCCCTTGCCCACCGGAAGAAACGCTATCAAGCGAAAGTTGAATTAATATTGATAATAATTTTACAAAATTATTAAAATTTACTTACAATGGTTCTTCACAAACTGAAAACAATGAATAAAAGCCAACACCGAAAGCTCCAATCTATAAATTTATTGAAGTTAAATTATTGTAATGTTTAATTTAATAAAATTAATGATGATTTTAAATAATTTACTTTTTGTTCATCTGGATTTCCTTCAGCAATTTTCTTTAATCGATTCCAATCCTCAACTCTAAAAGCGAATCCATTGTTTTTAAATATAATTCGCGTAATTTTGTTCTCCATTTTTCTATCTAAACTCAACCTTTTTGATGGATTTGAAGGATTTCGTACAGCTTGATAATTATTACTTGCAGTTTCGAAAACAATTTGAACCGTTGATGACCCTGCATCATCTTTATTTAATAAAGATACAGAATATCAATAACCTTAAATCATATCATTAAACACGAATGATAATATGATAATGAGAAGCTAAAATTTTTACCAGAATTCTGCATTAACTCGCGAAATACTACAAATTCAGAAGGGTACCTAATGTAAAAAAATTAATAAAATTTCTTTTAGTCAAGAAATAAAAAAATATATAAGAATATTCACTATTACCATCATCTTACCGAGCCAAAATCTTATCAATTAAGAGTCTTTGATTAACTTCGACCCTTTCCTCCCCATCTGAATTTGAAAGGACTTTAGATCTAAAATTATCTAATGACATGAGAAATTACTATAATAAATATATTAAATATATGAAAATTTTGTAGAAAGACCGAAAGAGAGGTATCTCGAAAGGATCTGATCCGGTTTATCCATTTATCTGTTACATAACGATACACTTTTGAGTTACGTTGCACGAATAAATAAAACGGAGAACACGCATTATCTTGAATAAACGAACGTGCCTAGATTGATTAAAACAACTTCATAACTATTAATAAAATAAATTATAATATAAATTACATTAACGATATAATAATCCTTTTATAGTTTCAAGAATTTGGAATATACCATGTTTTGCGGTTAGTAAGCACTCCGCACCTCTGGCCAGAATTATGATGGACTTGGCCGGCATTAAGTGCAAAAAAGGGGGGCTTATATATAGTGTTTCGATCCGGGTAGAAACCGTTACCCGGATAAATTAAAAAAATTATCCGGTTTTTATCCGGATTATCCGCCTCGGATAAAAATCCGGATATATCCGGATAGAAACCGAAATCCGGATAGAATTAATATTAATTTTTTTTATAGATTGGGAAATTCATGGCATATATTAAATAAAATTCATGGTATAAGTTTAATTAAGTTCCATAGTAACAAATTTGATTAAATTGGTGGCGTTTATTTAATTAAATCGTAGATCTTAAATTAAGGTTAGAAACTCTAATTTCGGCCGGCACTATGAATTTTGCCCAAATTATGCTGTAGGTTTGATTTTCCGAAATTTTTTAGAAAATGTGAACTTTTTTTTTTGTCCGTGATCATCAAGATTGTTGCATGCTTTTAGTGCACAAAATGGCTTAATATCAATAAGTCAAAATAATAAACCGAATTTTAGAATTGAAACTTAAGAAATGAATAATAATCACGATTGATTGACTCTAAAAATCAATTCTTATTTTGGGAATTGATTTCAATCCTTCACTGAATAAAAATTTAGAAAGAAAACTAATTTAAACATTTAAGAAAAACTTTTTTTTATTTTCATTATCCGGATTCCGGGTCAAAACCGGATATTTTTTAACCGGATATTTATCCGGGTAAAAACCGCGATTATCCGGATATCCGAAAAATAAAATTATCCGGGTTCAACCGGTTGGACCCGAATACGGATCGAAACACTACTTATATACTGCAAATACGGTAATAAGACACGAAAAAAAAAATAATTATATAGAAATGTCTGATTTAGTTAACTTTTTTTACGTGATCAACACCCGAATCACTTATGAATACGGAATACTTTAAATATAACATCACATGTTACAGTTTATTTTCATTGATTCATTATGATGTCAATTTTACCTAAGAACGAATGGATAACAATTTGAAATTTTTGTATTTATTGTACTTTATTAATGGTAAGCGAGGCGTTTTTTTTAGTACACTACCAAAAACAAATTCCAGCCAAAAGGACAAAAAAATAAATATTATACCTATTATCTATTATCTGTTTATTTATTGTTCGAACATATATAGCGATATTATAATAAGCGTATAAATTTTATTCGTTATATCTAATCTAAGAAATAAAGTTGCTATTATGCATAGTGATACCAAACTAGGGAATAATATAATGGAAATGAAAATCAAAAAAAGGATAAAAGAATGATGTCGAAAAAGGAATATAATGAAAGTGGGCGTAACAGTAAAAAAAAAAAAAGATAACATAGGCAAATAACCATATTTAATATTTACAATATTCCCGAATTTTACAGTAAATTAATTTTGCCGATTCCTCATTTACGAGCTAAAATACTCTTTAGGAAAATATTTAAATGTTAAATTTTCTTATTAACATACTTTTATCCTCACTCCAATTGCTGTTTATGTTTTTTGTCACACAAACACATATAATAACGAGTCATTGTTAAATGAATAAATAAATACAGTATTCCGAACCGGGTAATGCACAATAAAGCATCGCATAATGCGATTCACTTGTTGTATCATATTTTAAATTAAAAATTTCCCTTATATGGCAAAATCCGTATGAATTTGGCTGAATTCAAAATATACAATTTAAGCATTATATAATGGAAAATCGGTTCGAATTTTCGAATTGATCTACCGAACTTTTTCTCCGACTATATTGTATAATAATCAATTATAACTATATAATTTAATTCAATTTAAAAAACAATTCGATAAATTATTTGTATCACTTGCGATTTGTACTTTTAACCATTGTTTTTTTATGCTTAGAAATTCTTTTTGTGGGTGCGAATTATTGAGAATGACTTATAATCCATATTAGTCGCTCTTAAATATACAGTATCTTTGAATATAGCAATTGCAATGTATTTCCTAAAAATCTTGAATCAGTTATTGAAGATTTGAAGACAACATTCGTATATTCTTCTTTTAATGGCCTCAATGATCTGAAATTCAAAATTGGTTTCGAAAATTATTAATTTGGCTTATTAAGAACACAAAGAATCAATAGTTTTATGTTTTTGTCAGGAGGAATTTGAATTCGTTAAAATCATTACTGTATATAAAGTATTAATAAAAATTAAAGTCTCGAATGACCCAAGACAGAAATAATTTGCAAGATGGGTAACTCTTTCATTTGATCCTTATGGTTAATTTATATGAATCTTTAGACATAAACGTTTTATAAAGTACGAACTATAGGAAATGACAATAAATAGATTCTTGAAATTTTAATGACTTTAACAACTAATTGATTGTTTATTTGAGGATCTTAAAGATTTATGTTATATATACTGATCTTAAAATTCACTCTACTTTGTAAAAATGAATATTAAAAATTTTTTTTTATAATAGAATATAGTAATATCCGCGGGAGTCACGCATTAGAGTAATATCTGTTTAACGTGCAATCTTTATGTAAAGTCTAACCGGCATATAAATATACTTTTAATTTGAGCTATCTGCATATTCTCTCCATCATATTTTTCGTCAGCCTAAAAAAAAAAAAAAGATTCGCAACAATATAAAATTAGATGCGGTATTGCGGTTGCAACGATTTGATCAATTACAATTACAATTTAAAATAAAACAAACGAACCAACAAATCTATTTAAAATGAAACCGTTCTCATTACTTTCTTTGTTGCAATTTTTCTTTTGCAGTTAAATAAAAGAAATACAACGTTCGTTATAACGTTTATTAGAATTAAAATATAGTATGGTGTATAAAATATTATTAAAAATTTTAAACTATGAAGTATGAACTCGACTAAGCCTAAATTTTATATACTGTGTTATATCCAATGGTGCCATGGTGGTCATAACAACGAGAGCTTTAAAATTAAAAAATATATTAAAATTTTCATTAGATTAAGAAACGAGAAAATGCTTAAGATGAACGCAACGATTTGGCCACACAAATTCGAATTTTCGGTTCACTTCACCCGGCCGGGTCACTTTTTCAAATTTCAATAAAAAAAAGTTTATATATAAAAAATTTATCCCGTGATCGAGACGTAATTTTATTGGCGGGTAAGTTTATCACGCGGCTGAGAACTTCTAGAGCGAAAATAAATTCCTCCCTTTTAAAAATCAACCAATCAAATGTCACGATTTTATATATAAACTTTTTTTACTAAACCCGGGTCCCCGGGTCGATTTTAAATTTCAATGTTACGTGAACCGAAAAATTGAATTTGTGTGGCCTTATTTTAAACTTTTATTATCTACTCGAGTTTTTACCATGGTATCATTTATAATACCATGAAAGTTATTAATATTTATTAACGTGTAATTAATATGAAATTGAAGAGATAACATTGTAAGATATTCTATTAGAAAACCAAATTAGCCCACCTCCCATGTTTTGCGTAAAATAACCGATCTGTACAATTGTATATCTGGTACATTTCTCTAGTGAATACTCTTAAACATGATACAAATAGCATATAAACACATTAAGTTTTCGCATGATTCGTTGCAAAATATCCATATACTGTACAATCGCATGCCGATCTCATAAGTAATAGTCACGAGTCAAGAAGGTACAGTATTTCTTAAGGATTACATATAAATTATAACCAATTAGTCAATTACGTTTAATTGAAAATTTGGAACTTTCGCGTTTTTATATCATTTGTTATTTAATATCGAAAAGAAAGACAAACTCATGTGCATTTAGAGAGAGTATGCATTTACTAACTAGTCCTATAAAAAATTTTTCAGAAAAATGATCACGTGTCTGAGTTTCTTCAGAATAAAACTAGAAAAATGATCATTTTATCGGAGTTTTTTCCAGAATTTTTTTTATAGGGATAGGGATAGGAATTTTATATTGATCTCTATATAATTGAGACTGAGTAAGAGGGTGCATTTAGAGAAATATTTACAGAATAGCGCGTGCAATTAGAGAGAAAACATTTAGAGAGTTACTTTTTTGTAAGCGCAGCCTAATTTTTTCAAGTCCTCCAAGAGGGATTACTATTCAAACTTATTTACAAAACGTATTGTTTATCGCTGTTTCCAAATGGTTTTAAAATTACAACCTCTTTTTTATTTATTTTCATTTGCTAAAAAATAAGACATAATACGTCAATTGATAATTGTATTTTCTATATTTTATGTACACCGTTCTCTTGCGATTAATATTAATTAACAATGTCAAAATTATTCTCAAAGATTAACCTATCGAACATTTTAATATTTCTATAAATGATACGAGTGATACGGAAAGTTGTGGAGTCCGGTGGGGATGATGAGTGAGTGGAGTACGGTCCCCTAGGTGACAGTTTACTCAAGTGATAAATAACACGAAGGGCCAAACACGTGATTCAGAGTGGGCCGAGATACTATTCATCACCTGAGTAAGCTTCACACCCTTTATGTTACACACCGCCAAATGTCACCGTACTCCACTCAACATCCTCACAACTATTCGTCTCACCGTTCCAATTTACGTCCAATGACATAAATAATTATTCAATTCGATCAGACTTTTTTAGAAATTTCTAGTAGAATTGGATGTTTAAAGTAAGTTTAAAAGTCATTGTAGTTATTACTTATTAGTTTGCACACTATTTAAGCGTAAAAAGTTTACATTGCAAAAAATGAATTTAAAATAATAAAGATATTAATTCTAATAGTAAAGTTTGTAAAGTTTCGACTTTCCTAACATAGTAATCGATGGATCAATTATTTAGTTAACATGGAATTAAAAATTCAAAAAAAAAAAAAATTCGAAATTCAAAATGAATTTTTTAAATAAATATTAAATAATTTTAATAATAAATAATATTGTTTTTACATATATTATTTTTACATATATATAAATAAAAAATATATCATTTGAAATATAAATAATATTTAAAAATAAAATAAAAATAAAATAAAATAAAAAAGATAATAAAAATAAAAAAAATAAATTATCTTAAAACCAACTAAAAAAAACTCTTTGTATCATCATCATCATCATCATCGAAGATTTTTCAACATTGTTAAAAATTTTGACATATAAGCTTCTGCGTATGATGTTAAATAATGCTAATTATTTTTCAAACAATTAAGAATTTTAAATTAGTAAAAAATGATAAAAAAATTATATATATATATATGTATATAAAATATTTAAAATAAACAATAATATACTTACTTCATGATCAGAACTATGGGATTGAATAATATTATGTGCCAATTCATGACAAAATGTAAGATACCAATAAGTCATGGCATCGCTTGTAGGTTTAACCGCACATTCTTTATCGTGTAATCCAATGTAAAATTTTAAATTAAAAAATAATGATCTATCACGATTAAATGCAACACTATTGGTATAATTATCATAAAATACATGAACGGCTTGTAATTCAAGTTCAAATACACTCGCAATATTTCTTAATATATTTAAAAAACGGAATAATGAAGCACGATTTGATGGAGATAAGATGTCCGCTTGCTTAATACTTTTAGTATCATAAAGTTCAATACCCTGTTCATTTCCAACACAGCATAATAAATGACCTAAAAAAATAGATGAATCAAAATTAATAAGAATAAAAATATAATTATAAAAAATATATATTTGAATATATTGTTCGTACCAGGTATGACATCACAGTAACTTGATTCACTTTCTTTAACAACCATAGTACAAGCTTGACTATCGATAGTACTTCCAAGGTTAGAATGGCAAGTTTTTATTGCATTTCGTAAAGAATTTCGTAAATTTTGAGTAAATTGAGAATTTACAGCAACTGGTGATTTAACGGTAGGTTTTTGACTATATTGCTTAACAACGTTCTGTGATCTAGATTTTAATATACGATCAACCGGATATCCCTTACGTTCCAAAGTTGATAAAGATGTGATTAAGATCATATTAAAATAGGAATATTCCTTAAATTTAGGTGATTTGAAAATATGTTTGCATATATATTGCGAAATATCAAGATTATCTGGATCGGGTGTTATATAAAGTACCCATGAACTCAACTCATTACTTTCAATTACGCAAGCAGTAGTATCATTTCTAATCTGAACATTATTATTTAACTCATAAACTGCTTCTATACGATCAACTAATCTCACTTTCAAGTTCTTAAGCCATTCATCATCTCTTAAAATCTTCGATTTAGATATATCATGATAAAATAAACCAGCTTTTTCTATTAATGCTTTCCTTATCTTCATAGTATTCTCAGTTTTTTTAATAATACCTTTTGGAATTACAGTATATTGTACTGATTCAGATAACGATCTACACCCCAATTTCTAAATATTAAATTTATCGTTAATATTCTAAATAATTCTGCATGATATCTTTCCACACTCGTATATCTCTGTAAAATTAAAATAAATTATAGGTAACATACCTTATAAAGTTTTTCCATTAAATCGGTTTCTGGGGCTATCAACGGTTTAAAAATTTGTTGATATCCTTGATCGTCATTTATGAAAATATCTTTTGCTGAAGCCAATTTTTTCTGATCAACCTTTTCACCATTACAGATTTTCTTCTCGATACCTATTAAAATAGGTTCTCTTTTCATATCCATAAATAAACTTGGTTTATTACGTTCTATAATATTAATGTGAATGGCAATTCTATCCAAAATGTATGAATATTTATCTAAATCGGGAGAATCCCACAATTCACGTGATGATTTCACCAATAATTCGGCAAATTCGATCGTAGATGGTTCATTTTTAACACCGCAACTTTGAAGAAACCTTTTTGCAATCTCTCCAAAATCAATATATGTAAAGAATTCTCTCAAACTAAAGAAAAAAATTTTTTTATTTAAAAAAAAAAAGGTCGCCCCATAAAATGTACTTTATATAAACATAATACATACCTATTTTCTGTGCATTCAAGGAAACAACTATGTGGATTGATAAGATTAATTACATTAGGTCTAGTTTTATCTTTGACTGGAATAAAATTAAGATCACCAAGAATCTTCCAATCAGTATCTGTAAAATTTCCTTGTTGTGAGGCCAAATATTCAAAAACTCCTTTTGCCTTAGCTATATCTCGTGGTGGTTTTTCGATCAAACTCTTTAAAAGTTTATCAGGACTAGGGTTTTGTTGAACACCAAATTGTTCCGCGCAATACAAATAATCTTGACGTATAACATTAAAATTCAATTTCATGCAATCAGAATTAATATAACAATTTGTAGGTGTCGCATAAACGTATCGTTTTCTACATGGCAAAAATGTGACGTTGATTTCAGTCGGTTTGTAATCTTTGGAATATCTATCTTTAAAATTATCGTTAAGATATTTAAAAGCTTTCATACGAATTTTTGAAGGTGTTGGTGGTACTATAAGTTCTAGAATTTTTTGAAGTTTAGGATATTCTTGTAAACCTAATTCAATTAAGAATTTCCCTACAAATTTTAAAATAAATTTTTATTTTTCAACTATAGATTAACTAATTATATATATATATATATATATATAAAATCAAATATAGTACCTTCTGGAGTGTTACGACCCCATCTTCCTTTCCAATCAATTACAGGTAAACCAAATTCACGATGTAATGGTATGGGTGAATACAATTGATTGGCAATGTAACGACGAATTTTTGCTTTTGTTGAATAAATTTCTTTAGGCCAAATAGGTTTTCTCTTTAATATATTTTTTTCATTTTCTTTGAGATCATTATACTTTGAAGAAAGATATTTTACAAGTTGTATATGATCCCAATCTCCTTCATGAAGAAGACGATCAAAAATTAGTTGTAATTCAACAACCTATGAAAAATTCAATAATTTATTAGTTAATTTAATCGTTTCAAATATATATACTGTATATATATTATTTTTTGTTTACCTTTCGAACACCCAGAAGTTCCATTAAAGCTTGAACGCTTGAGGGCTTTTGAAAATCGATCGTTGGCAAATCAGGAAGTATATTAACATTTTGGAAATAAGCATTTTGTGGAAACTTCATTCCAAATTTAGTTGGAATACATTTCTTTTTTTCAAATAACTGATGAATTATTTTCTTATCATTTTGAGAGAGATTGTTCAAACTTTTTGCCAAAGTACTATGAACTTTTCTAGCAAAATCAGGGTTACATTCCAAATCAGGTTTTCCAACGATAAATCTTGCCCAATTAACCAGAGATAATTCTTTCCATTTAAACCATGTTTCAAAATCTTTATGATTTTTGAAATTTTTGGAAATACTATATGGTAATACATCATTTGGGATATCCATATTTGGTGGAACTATGCCTGGATTCAAAAAATAATTAATAGTATTCAAAGGTTGAAAATTATCTCCAACGCGTGCAAGTTGCATGAAGTGATTAACGTCTGATGGATCAACATTATTCTCTTTCGATCTATAAGAAATCCACCATTTCAAAAGTTCGATCATTTCCCCTTCAGATAGAGATCGACTATTCAATTCAAATAAAACATCTTTAAGAGATAATTCTTCTATAAATTTCGAATCTTTTGCTTTCTTAAAAAATCTGATACATCTATCATATACATATTCTGGAACAACTGGAACCGCTTTTATGAACCCTTCCATTTCCCGATTAGGAATACGAACGTCAGTTATCGGTAGAACACCATTTGTTGAATAAATTGATAATTTTTTTTTGGAACATTCGAAAAATTGTGATTCTGATATTCTGCCAACTTCGGCATTTGGCGTACTCTCTCTAAATGTAAAATGTGTTAAAGCATGTTCTGCTAGATTTTCAAGCCATTCAATCTGTTCTTCAGAATCAATAGATTCATTAATCATTTTATCGTGACGATGTTCTATATAAGACATTTCACTTTCATATAGAATTCTGCATAATGTTCCCGCTAAACTTAACAATTCACTATTATATACAGCCAAAGTCTTGTCTACCAAGTCAATTGATTCCCTCTCCACCTAAATAAATAATTTGTCATATTTTTAAAAAATTAGGTTCATCAAAGATACTATAAATCAAAAAAAAATATTAAAGTACATACAGTAGGAATCACGCGAGCCGCTAAATGGATACAACATCCAGTAGTTTGATGAGTTGGAAATCCAATATATATTCTTCCTTGTTTCGGAAATGGATGTAAATTTTCAAATATTGGGGAAATATTATTCTCATGATTCATAGATGAATTATGTTCACCATATCCAGTATAAATTATTTGGATGGTTGTTTTACTTGGTGGTTTCTTTTTAGTGCTTCGTTCCATTTCATTAGAAAATGCTTCGCTAACTATAACATCCAAATTACCATTAGCAATTTTAAGAAATATAAATACTTTTTCAATTTCAAGATCAGTTATCGGTAAAAAACGCCAGTTATTCCTGTTATCTATATTTTTTGGAATAATTAATCTCTTAACGGTTAGTTGAACGCCTCTAACATCTACTGATGTAATATGAAACATCTCTTGTGGAGAATATGTGTCAAACTCGGGCGATATTCCCGTCGATCCCAAATCTTTCATTATCTTTGATAGTTCTATTACCAATGTATTATTAAAATACACTGAAACTTCTTGAAGGTTCCCGGTAAATCCCTGTTACTTTTAAATATTAGTATGACGCTTCGTGTTTTAGAACTTTTCTTAATTAGTCCGGAGCATAGAGAAGGGCTTACCAAAGAATTGGCTAAAAATTGGGCGAGTTCGTCAATTTCTGGAAACTAATCAATCACATCAATCAAAGTGTTAAATGAGATATAATGAATGATTTCCGATGATCGATGATACGAATAAAATATCTACCTCCTCAGTCTCTCTCATATCCATTAAAAATGATGTCCAAATCTTATCCTTATTATAAATTCGCGCTTGTTTTGTTAATAATTGATTTCCTTGCCAATAAAAAGCCATTCCTTGATCACCAGAAGAAACACTATCAAATTAAACTTTGGATTAAATATCATTTTTTTTTTTTTATTTATTAAAAAACAACTAATTTATGATTAATTACTTACAATGGCGTTTCACAAACTGAAAACAATGAATAAAATCCTACACCAAAAGCTCCTATCTATTAATGTCATCGTGAAAGATCTTTTTAAGTTTAAAGCAAAAAATTAATTAACGAAAAAAATGATAATATATATACTTTTTGTTCATCAGGATTTCCTTCAGCAATTTTCCTTAATCGATCCCAATCTTCAGGTCTAAAAGGAAATCCATTATTCTTAAAACCAATTCTAATGATCTTGTCTTTTAACTTGATATCTTGTTTTGGTTTTGCGGTTTCATAAAATATTTGAACTTTTGTTGATTTAGCATCATCTTTATTAAATAAAATAAAAAATAAATTTTAATTACGTTATAAAAAATCAAAAATTGTTAAAAAAATAATGTTGAAAAATATTTAAATTTTTAAATTTATTACCGGAATTTTGCATCAATTCCCGAAATACCACAAACTTAGCAGAGTATCTAAAAAAATATATGAAAGGTTAACTTTAAAGGAAATACAAAAAAATGGAAAAGAAAAATGTACTACAAAACCATAAAGTTTTTTTCTTACCGAGCCAAAATCTTATCGATCAAATGTCTTTGATTAACTTCTACTCGATGCTCACCACCTGCACTCGAAAGTACTTGATTTCTTAAATAAATCTCATCCATTTTTTAATAATTATAATAATGATGACAAAGAGGTTGGTTGGTATTTATTTTCACTTTCTTTTTTATTTTTCTTTTCTTTTTCTTTTTTCTCTTTTTTTTTTTTTTTTTTTTTTCTTAAAAAAAAAAAAATACCATTCATCCCATTCATCCCATTTATTCGTTTTTTTTCGATCTTATTTTAATTTTTCCATATAGGAAAATATCATAGTGATTATTTAGGTAATGTATATATAAGGACTAAAAGCTCTGCTTATGCTATCCAAAATAATGAATAAAATAATTAACATTTACCGAGTTTTAATGAGTAGAACAATAACATATTACATTTTACCTCTAGATTTTCCATTTTCTGCGCCATTCGTGTAAATAATAATGACAAATTTTTTTTAAAAAAAAGATTTGATTATAAAATTTCCTAATGAAAATTTGATCATTTCTTATTCTAAAACACAAAAAAAATTAATTAATAACTAAAATGTTTAAAGTTTCTAAAAAAAAAAGAAAGATAAAGAAAGAAAAAAGAAATTTTCTCAGAGGATTAGTGAAACAAGGTTCTGAAATTGGTTACCCGATCCCAAAGAGATCAAGATTTTCTTTCAGAAAATACTAAATTAAAAATTTAATTGTTCAATTGTTCAATTGATAGAATGAAAAGGCGTTAATTAACATTAATCATACCCACCCCCTTTTTTTTCTGATTGTATTTACTGAAAAAAAAACCGAAATTTTTTTTAATCCCCAATTTTTTTTTAGTGCTAAACATAGTAAGAAAAAAAAAACTATCAGAGTATAATTTTTAATTTTACAAAAAATTAAATTAGAGAAATGACAATCATTTGCTGCGACCTTCAAATCCGGGTTCATATGATACTCGTGACCGAATCCATTGTTATCATCATATAATTCGGGTAAACTCGGAAGTAATCGGAACTGGGTAACCCACTAATTTGGATTGAAATACCCAAGTTAAGCGGTTGATGAACGAGATTCACACCGATCACACGTTCTCCTTTTGTTTTTAACGCTTCGAAATTTCAACTAGATAATAACAATAATAACAGGTATAAAAACGAGTATTTTTTGAATTCGTGATTGAATACGTAATTTTGGTCATCCGTCATTCCGTCATCATCATATCGTAACAAACAAAAAAAATCAATCTGCGATGTGCCCGGATAATAGAAAAAAAAAAGCGTGCTTTAAGGTGAGGAGGAGAAAAAAATGAAAATTGAAATATATACAATATACAGTATATACAAACATTTATATTTTTATTTCATTGAAAAAAGAATTTCTTTGATTTCTAATCTAACATTCTAACTAAATAAATATACATTATTAACCCAATATGTTAGTCTTAAATTTTGGACAAAACTTATTGATGGCGTTATTTAATATATCAGTATATTTATCTGGAATATCAGCAACAAAGGTTTTTAAATTTTTCCCATTATTTTCTAATAATTTAATTAATACATCAACTTTTGGACAACCATGATGAAATTCCAAAGTATGTAAATGAGTGAATGTAACATATTGTAAATCATTAAAACCATTAAAAGTATTATCATAATTGGTTGATAAAATTAGTTCCCTTAAATTTGTGAATATAGTAATAAAAGAGAAAGGACCAGAATCATTACCATTAATCTTTAATCTAATTAAAGTATTTGAATGTTTTGTTAAATAAGGTATTAATTCTTCCCAACCAATACAATTATGATTTTGATATAATGATAAATATTTTAAATTATTTTGTGAAGAGATTAATTTTTTTAATCCATTAGAGACAGCTTTTTCGAATATTATATTAATTGATTGAATATTATGACATATTTGGGATAATTGATAAAAAAATTCGGAATGAATATCCGAATCACTGCTTAATTCTGAAAGATCCATTAAACATTCTCTTGATCTAGGAAAATTGGTAAATGTTATACCTTTTCTATGATCTATAACAAAAGTACGATATGATAATTTTTTTAAAGAAGTGATACGATTCATAAACATTTTTAATATTTCTTGTGTAACCAAATCTGCTTTGTGATAGTTGTTTGAATCTCTTGAATTAATCGACGATTGTTGATTTTCAAAAAATTTCTTGATCATCATGTCAATTTTACCAATTGAAAGAACTTTACAGAATGATATATAATTAAATAAAGGTTGTTTTGAAGTTGGTGTTGTAATATAAACTCCATTCATACGTTTAAGATCTTTAGATATTGATGTTGAAATGAAAATATCATTCTCTCGTAAAAGATCCTTTGATTCATCAGGTAGACAAGCTGTTAAAATACTGATCAATTTCGTTGATTCCTTTAAAACATAAAAATTATGTTTCAAACTCCAAATATTTCTCCATAAAATTCTAATAGAAACCTCACACCAAAGACGATTAACTAATAAACATGTATATAAATTTGTAAATTTATCTTTCTCTAAATATAAATGTTCGAAAATTTCATCAAGACAATCAGCAGGAATGTGACAAGTCATTTTTATTAATTTTTTATTGAATTTTTTTTAATAAAAAATTTCCATAAAAAAATTCTCTCATCAGGGTTTTATAACGATACAAAAATCATTATACTTTTTCAGGAATAGTCACATCTGACGTAAATTTGTGCGACGAAACAGGCTATAAGAAAATAAGAAAATGATGATATCAAATAGGTTATGTCAAATGTAATAAAAATATACAGGATAGTTATCATATAGTTATCTGATTGGTCCTTTCTTTATTTCTTTTTTTTTAAAAAAAATATTTTGCCTTGTAAATACATTAATATACACATTGTTATTGAGTAGTTTGCAAATAAATTATATAAATTCTTTCTAGATAAAAGTACATATACTATATGTACCGTTTGACAGAATAATGATCATAATTATCGCTGTCGCTACTGATGAATCATCATTATCGACGATATACTGATGTTAAGTTTATAATCTATTACTTTGTCAACCTTTTTTATCTATCGTTCTTCCCTCTCTTTTTTTTCTTTAGGAACGCTCTTGGACCTTGTGGATTTCGGCCTGGACTTTATAGGTAAACTCAGAATTATCGCTGTCGCCTGTCGCTACTAATGAAGACAATATTATCATCATTATCGACGATATACTGATGTTAAGTTTATAATCTATTACTTTGTCAATCTCTTTATCTATCGTTCTTCCCTCTCTTTTTTTTCTTTAGGAAACGCTCTTGGAGACTTGGACCTTTCTGGACTTTATAGGTAAACTCAGGAAACTGTATATGATTTCTATTTCTTATTCTATACAACCATGCTTTTTGTAGGTTTTTCATTTCTCAATTTCTTTGCTATACACCATTTTATGAAATCTAAAAATATTATTACTGTTAATACATATTATTTTACTAACATTGAAGTCCCGGACTAGGTTTCTCCATCTTTGCTCGCATTGGCGAGTAGTATATCAAAGGAATAAACTTTCTTGACACCCTCCCAAAATTCCACTCTACTCCTGATTGTACCGCAATGACACAAGGAGATATAACCCAAGTAAACCATTTCTCATTTACCATAATCAATTTATATAAATCGATTGTGGCATATGCTTTGAGAGAAAGAAGTATTCTTTTTTATTATTACACTAAATAGTGATATGCTTAATCATGTTTATTCTGATAGAATTTGCAATAAAAATATATCAAATGACCCTCAGATCCTCAGATGTTGGTGAGTTAAAGCTTCTCTCCGCTTACGCTTCGGATAATAAGATAATATTAATAATTTTTTAATTTTGTAAAAATATGACAATTTCGTTCAATAACAATGTTATTATATAATTTTAGAGAGCATTAACAGCATTAACGGATATTTTGGTATAATAATTTGATTTCAAAACATTTTATTGTTCTAATTGGGAAATAAATATACGATTAATTTGATTTACATTTGATACGCGTTCACGCGAATAACTTATAACTTACGGTAACAATAATAATCTGCGTGCTATCTTCCAAACTTCCATAGTGTAACAATGATTGTTACATTTTTTCTTTCATATTGTTAAATCATTTAAACTAAACGATAACAATTGAAATACTATAAACTAATAAACAATGAGTTAATGAATTAACACATTTATGGCGTAATGAAATTCCGGCGAATTTAAAAAATCGGTAAAAGGTAATTCCTAAAATTAGATATATAAATTTCGGAAATTCCGGTATAACACGGTATAACACAAGGTATGCAAGGATTTTCCGGTAACCTAATCTTTATAAACGATTTCTGCAAGGGACCTTGTAAATCGTTAAATAAATCATTTTCTGAGTTATTGTAGTTTTTTTTTTTTTTTTTCTTTGTGAAATTTTATATAAAAAGATTTTTAATTTTATTCGAAAAATTTAAAGTAAAACAATAAGTAAAATATTAAAACTTATAATAATATATGTCATATACTCATATGATTGTTTCATTGAATGTAACAAACAATCTCTGCGCATAAGCCTCATGATCGATGTTCGATAAAGTAATTAACCATAACCGTTTTTGTATATCCTTTTAACTTTAAGCCCATTTTTCTTTTTTTTTCTCCTCGTAACGAGGGGAAAAAAAAAAATTTTAATTCGGCGCAGCAGAAAAAAAAAAAAATAACCGCCGCAGTTTCTTTAAGGTACAAGTATGTCGATGCAGCAAAATGGTAAGGAAATAGAACACAAAATGTAATTAAATGTATTACTATGCATCAAGTAACAAATTATCTTCGATATTTTTTAGAAAAACAAACAAAAATAAAAATTACAATAAAGATTTCTGAATTTTCTTTTCTTTTTTTTTCTAAATAATAATAATAATAATATTCATTTTCTTTAAAAAGTAAAAGTCAATTTTGACATATATTGTCCGTTATTTATAATTGTTTTATAAGTTTGATATTAAATATTTATTTACAATTATTATTATTATTATTTTATCCAGTAAAGAAATACTTGTTTATTAATTTAATTAAACGGTTACCGGTTAATAAACTTGTTTTATAATATATATAAAGAAACGAAAGGGATGCTTATTTAACTTGTTTATTTGTCACACACATATTTAAGCTTCAGTAATTGGTTACAATTCATGTTCTTCGTTTACCTTATTTCTGGACGAAAAATTAAACTTTAAACTTCCATTTTCGTAATCTTTCTTTTTTTTTTCTTTTAATTTTTTTTTTTCTTTTTTATCTTTTTTCTTTTTCTTTGTTTAATGAAAGATATACATACATATTTCCCCCTTCGAAAAATACATTCACTTATCATAAAAAGTTTTAATAATCACGACGTTATAATACCATAATACATGTATATTTTTTTTTACCGTTTATTTCTCTCTTTAAAGTGACTAAACTTTCTTGGGGACAAAGAAACGTTTCTTTTTAAAATTTCTACCCACAATATACACGATTTATATTTATTCATTTGCATTTTTATTTATTTGTAATTTTTTTTCTCCCTTTCTTTTTTAATAATATTTGCATCAAAAAAAGAAAAAAATTTTTTTTTTTTTGAACCAATCAATCATATTCAAATCATAAAAAATCATAATCAAATATAAAAATTTTCCATTTCCCATCGGACTTTCACATCCCATAAAATAAAAACCCTTTAAATAAAATGTTTCAAAATTAAAAAACAATTACATAATTTCATCCGCTCCTTTGATTTTTAATCATAAATCATCTATTCCTCATTTATTCATTTGAAACATATAAATAATAAAAGGGATCATATATTATTACTATATTTAGATTCACTTCAATCATATGATTAGTTAGAAAAAAAATTTTTAAGATTTTTAGATTTTTTTTTTTCCACAACTAATCAAAAAATAGTTTGATGATCGGATAAACTTTATTATTTAAATATCCGTTTTTTTTTAAAAAGTATATAAACGATTTAATTAAAAAAAAAAACGATATATATATATATATTATATATATATTTTTCTTATTTATTTATTTATTTTTGATCATCTTTTTTTTTTAAAAAAATTCATTATCATTTAATTTTTCAAAATTTCGTTTAACAAAGTGATTCTAATTAAAGAAAGTGTCGTAGTTACGATAATGAAAGATCAGTTGAGATATGCGGATTTTCCAAAAGTCGATGATGGAAGAACGTACCATGTCGGAGTCAAACGTGGTGAAGGTAACCTATAACTTACGCCATCAATTTTATAAAATTTTTTTAAAAAATTTTTTTTTTTTTTTTATAATTAAATTTCTTTATTTTTTTTAAAAAAAATAATTCAAGTCGCTAATCGAATCATAACGGTTGAAGATCCTTCAAGAGCATTGGTAATTGAGAGACTTTTAGATCGTAATCCAAAACCATTTATTCTTGATTCAGGAAGAGGTTTTTTAACAATAACAGGACGTTATAAAACCATACCTATTAGTATAATTTCGATATTTTACGTAAGTATTCAATTAAATCGGATCAAAAAAAACGGTAATTTTAATTTTTTTTTTATTTATTTATAGGGATTTTCTATGATGGATTTTTTTATAAGAGAAGTTAGACAAGTAGTTGATGGTCCTTTAGTTATAATTCGATTGGGATCTTGTGGTTCAATATCTCATCCAAATATTGGTGATGTGATAGTACCAAGTGGTGCATTTTCCGTAACGAAAAATTATGATTATTTTATTCATGGGATTGATACAAAAGATGCTTTTCCTATCGTAGATTCTCCTTATAATATATCAAAAATAACTTATTGTGATCGTGAAATGTGTGAGATGGTAAGTCTTTAATTTTTTTTCGTATAATGTTCGTGTATAGCAATAATGTAATATTGTGATATCGTAATATCGTAATATCGTAATATTGTAATATCAAAATGTAAATCATTTAATCATTATATTTTTACTTCCATCCTCTTTTAGTTACAAAGAGAATTCAGTAAAGTCTTGACGACAACTCCAATATTCTCTGGTTTAAATGCTTCTACAGATAGTTTTTATTCTTCTCAAGGTCGTCTTGATGATAATTTTCTTGATGAAAATCATGATGTGATCAACTCTGTCTTTCAAAAATATCCAAATGCTTTAACAATGGATATGGAAACTTTTATTTTATATCATTTATCAAATATTAGTATAACAACTCTTGTATCCCCCTCTCAATTACAACAATCACAATCAAGTTCCAATTTATCTGATGTAGATTTATTAAACGGTAGAAAATCTTTACATCAATCAAGAAGTTCTTTTGATATTACATCAAAACAAAGATGTTCAATGGATGTATCAAGAAGGAAGAATAATACTTTTTCTATTTCAGCAAATAATTCAAATATTCATCGTCCTCATAGACATCATTTAAATAATAGTTCAAGAGATTTAAATTCAAATAATCAATTACATCATCAATATAATGCAATTAATAGTATAAGATCAACTTCCGCTCTTGTCGTATTTTGTGATAGGAAAACAAATGAATTCATTTCTGATGATATGATAAATTTATTAGATCCTTTATGTGGTGAAGCTTGTTTAAATACTTTGATAAAGATTGAAATTAAAGAATCTCATAATGAAGAAGGAAGTGTTTGGAGTAATAAATTAATGGATAAATCAAAAAAAGAGAATAAAATTGTTAAAATGATTAAAAGAAAGTTTTCGGTATAAATCGTACCTTTTTAAGAGATATTACTTTCTTTTTTCTTTCTTTTTTTTCTGTTTTAAAAAAAATAATATAAATAAATAAATAAATAATCATAAAAAAAAAAAAATTGTGAACATTTGGGAACTTGGAAAACAAAAAATAATAATATATATATAATAATATATAATAAATTTCAAAAAAGTATAATTATCATTTGTATTTATTTATCATTCTTTTTCATTATTTTTATTTTATTTATTATTTTATTTATTCTTTTTTTTTTTTTTTTTTTTTTTTTTTTTTTTTTTTTTTTTTTTTTTTTTTTTTTTGTAATTTTATTTTTATATTTAATAATCTAATCAATAATGATAAATGATTTTATCTAAAGAGTAAATATTTGCATATAATATTTTTAAATTATCAAGTTATCAAATTATTTAAAGGATTCATCAATTTAAATAAAATATTACATAATTATCACTAGATCTAAATTAACGTTAATTAAAATGCTAAAATTAATGTTACATTAATTGGATTTCTTTATCGCCGTTTTTCAAAATGGTGTGCGCAGTTTATTTGTGATTGTATATTCAAATACCAATATTCGCTCGGTTTTCATCCGTTTTTCGTCCATATTTTGTCCGAGCTTACCAAATTTATTTTTTAAACCATTGACGGGTTTCATCCTAGAAATTCCCACATGGACTTCATAAATTCTTAAACTTGTTGTTTTCGGGGAGTTATATTTTCCATTGATATTTTTGAGGTGGGTTCCAAAAGATGGCATCCAAGACTTACATTTAAATCTTGTGTAACTCGTTTTATCCAGGATTGGAAGACGATCGATACGTTCGCCTTTTGATGATTTTTATTTTAGTATTGTGAGGAATAGTAGGAGTGCCATTTTAGGCAAGGATATGAACTTCCCAAACACCAAAAGAATCCTTTTTCGTTGGATGTTTAATCATTAAATTCGCCAATCAAACTTGCAGCAACGGCATTAGGTGCCTATTCGCGGTATATAATGTCGCCATTTGGTAGTACATTGAGACCGAAACGTTCGTATCCATGCGAAAATTTATCATAACCACCTTCATTTTGGTTGATCCATTTTTTATATGATTCAAGTCTGCGTTTTATTGCGGGAGCAAAAGGTTTTAACCAAGGATCAATTTCACAAATACCAGGCTCTTGACTTGTCATTTCTGTGTTTTCGGTTTTCTTTTTGAAAACGGCGATAAATATGAGTGAACTTAACTTTTTTTACTCCACTCCTTAATAAGCCTGTAGAAAGCACCTTCTTTGATTTACTATTGAAATTTTCATCACCATTATCTTTTCATCTATTTGCTGATGCTTTCTTCGGGAGATTGATAGTCATTTTTGCCACCCTCACTTTCTGAATTGTTCTCATTTTCTGAATTGGATTTTATCTTCAGGATGGAATGATGGCGAAGGTTGAGAAATTCATGAGCCAGCCAAATTTCTTGATTTTGTAAAATTGTTTATTATGATGACTTTCTGGTTTTTCTGATCAATCTCGTGCTCTTCAAGCAATCTTCGATACTTTCAATCTTCTATCATTGACAAAACCTCTTTCGCTCTTTATTCTCATTTCTGATTTTTAAGGGTTAATTCTTAACTTTTTTGATCCATCATCATTGGATATTAAATAATATTTGCTAATCGCATTATCTGGATCCAATATTAAAATATAATATGATTAGTTTTACTGATTTCCAACTTTTAAATAAAAAATACAAACCAATTTCTTAATCTACTTACATGACCAAATTCCTCCATTGAACCATAGTGGTTCTATTAATACTTGTGTCATTTGACTCTTCCAGAACTAGCAGGCTTTTGCAGGCTTTTACTAATGACAAAGTTAGGATGCCAAATTGAGCCTGAGTTGGTTATCAAGTACTAATAAACAAATATCAAGTAAACAAATAAAATAAAAAATAAAAAAATATATATATTAAAGAATTAAAAGAAATAAGAAAATACGTGTTGTATGCCATAATAAATAATTATTTGCATGAGTAGTTTTTTTGCATGAGTAACTTATAATATTCATAAAAAAATAAATAAATATATAATGAATTGAAAGAAATAAGAAAATAAAAAAGAAATAAAAAAAATAGTAAAAATATGTATATATATAAAAAAAATAATAAAAATAAAAAATGTAAAGAATTGAAAGAAATAAGAAAATAAAATAAAAAAAATATATAGAAATAAAAAAATAGTAAAAAAAATATATAGAAATAAAAAAAATAGTAAAAAAATTTGTATATAATAAAAAAAAAAAAATAAAAGGTAATCCCCCAAGTCAAACACCAACGTTGGACTTTGCTTAGGACGGAGTTACTTTATTTTGCAAAATAAACAACACCCTTTAAAATAAACCAAATAAACAAATCCAGTAATTCTAAGCCACATTCTTGACTTTGACTTAGGAATTACCCCGCTTTGCAAAATAATAAATAACACGCCTTCTCTTTTAAGGTTTCTTGATTCAGATTCGCTCCTTCCAAGAAATAAGTAGCCACTTTGCACTTGTCTAACTTTGTCTAGAAAATAATGCTCCCTTCGGAGGCTTTTGCTTTGAAATTTGGTAGATCGGACGATTCTTTTGTAAACAAAAAAAAAAAGGATAATCGATTACATAATATGATAATGAATCAAGTTCAAGATTTTGTGCAAGACCCCATTTTAGTAAATGTTCCAAATTTCGATCAGTCGATCGATCTCATTTGTAATTGAATAGTGAAATCAAGTGATTTAATTATTTTTTCTGGAGATTTTTCCGTACAAAATTGTTGAAGTTCTGTTCGTTCGATTTATTTCAATCAAATGACTTTGTAACCCTTGAAGCAGTAGTTCATCTGCAGCTAGTAAACTTTTTAAAAATTTCTTGTCCATTTAACGAAAGAATACCACTATAAATATACCTCTATTAAATTATATTGTTTATAAGAAAGAATTATAATGTTGGTGGTATCGTATTGGAAGAAACGATGAGACGTAAAAATTTAAAGGTGGTGTATTTTGTGTATTAGAGTATTCTTTTTTATATGAAGTAGTATGAGAGAGGAGGATTTGTTTTTTTAGAAAAAGTAGTATTTTTGACTCTTTAATCGGTGATTGTTATGATATTTTGAAAATGTAAATTTATCAGTAAAAATACGTCATGACTAATAATGAATTGACCAGTGTGACGACGTAAAATTTTTCATGACTAAGAAAATTTTTTTTTCATTCATAATCACACTATAACTTTATTGATCGTTAGTACATTTTGATCATCGATCGCTCATGTAGTGTATTTAATGAAAATGATTTTATTATAAACAAATATAACAATATTTTATACAGGGAATATTCTATCGTATTTTGTTACAAATATTTACGAAAATTTCGAAAATTTAAAAATTTGAAAATTTGAAAATTTATATAACTAAATTACATACTAAATTACAGATGATGATGATTTCTTCATAAAAAGAAAGAGACTACTATTATCTAAAACATTTTTTGCATTCAATGAACCATTATCTGAAGCCTTTTTATACCAATAACCAGCCTTTTCAATATTCTTTTTACATCCAATTCCACAATGATAACAAAATCCTAAATTATATTGTCCATCAGAATTTCCTCCTTCAGCTGATTTCATATACCATTCAAATGTTTTATCAAAATTTTTATCAATAAAATAATATAATTTACCCAATTCATTTTCAGCAATATGATTACCTTTATTGGCTGATTTTAAATACCATTCAAATGCTTTATTATGATTTTTATCAACTCCTTTACCAAAAAAATAACATTTACCTAATTCAATTTGTGAATTACTATCTCCTTCTTCAGCAGATTTTAAATGTAATTCAAATATTGATTTCTCTTCACAATTTATCTTTTCTTCATATCGATATTGATAATTTTTATTATTAGAGATGACATTTTTTTGACAACTTTCCAAATCATTTCTGATATTTTGTTGATCGTGATCATTAGTGGACTTTAAATACCATTTAAACGCTTTACCATAATCTTTACCAACTCCTTTACCAAAATAATAACAATTTCCTATCTCATTTTGTGCATCACGATTTCCTCCTCCTGCAGATTTTAAATACCAATCAAATGCTTTCTTTTTATCTTCATTTATTCCAATACCACGTCGATAACAAATTCCTAGATTAATTTGAGCGTTATGATTTCCTCCTTCTGCAGATTTCAAATACCATTTAAATGCTTCCTTTTCATCTTTATTTATTCCAATTCCATTTTTATAATAATAACCTAAATAATTTTGTGCTATCGAATTTCCACTCATAGCAGATTTGAAATATAAATTAAATACCATACGAATATCTATTTTTGTTTCAATACCTGATAAATAACAATAAGCTAAATTCATTTGAGCCAAAACATTTCCTTTTTCTTCCAAATATTTATAATAATTAAATAAATTATTTAATTCTTTTTCATCTTTTAATCCAAATTTAATACATAATAATAAAAAATGAATTTCTTCAAGATTATATTCCATATTTAATTTTATATGATTTTCAACATTTTGAATTATTTCATCATATTCAAGATGATTATGACTAGAACGTATTCGTGAGAGTATACGTGGAACATTTCCATTCTGATTAAATAATTTAATAAAATGATCTTTATAATAAAAGAATAATAATAAATATTTTCCAATAATAACATTTTCTAATTGAAAATAATAATTTTCATAATTACGATTTAAATCAAAATCTAATTCAGTTAATTTATAACCATTTTCAATAGCAATATTATAATAATAAGATGCCATATCATTATTATTATCATTATTATTAACGTCATCAATACCTAAATCGTAATTATAAAAAAATCCTATTATACTTGAAAAATATAAATCACTTTTTTCATGATTTTTCATCATGTTAAAAATTTTATTTAAACTTAAATCATTTTTTATAATTGTTTCATTTATCCATTTTATTATTTCTTTTATAAAATTTTCATTGAAATTTTTTAAATTTTTTATATTAATTATTTTAATATAAAAATTTTTTAAAAAATCTTTTAAAAAATCTTGATCGTTTTTTGTGATGTCGGTCATATTTGTCATGTTTTTTAAAGATTTAGGTATGAAGATTTATTTTTTTTTAACGAGAATTTTTTGATGAGAAAAAAATATTGCAAAGATTTATTTTTTTTTTTTGATGGGAAAAAAATATTGCAAAGATTTATTTTTTTTGATGAAAAAAATATTGCAATTGCAAAGATTTATTCTTTTTTGATGAGAAAAAAAATATTGCGAGGGTTTATTTTTTTTGATGAGGAAAAAATATTGCAAAGATTTATTTTTTTTGATGAGAAAAAAAAATATTGCGAAGATTTATTGTGAGCGAAAAGATTTTATGAGCGAATTCTTTGTAAAGAGTATATAGCATGAGAAAGATTCAAATTTTTTAGTAATAAAAAAATACAACGAAAGAATCGAATTTTTTACGTTTGAAGCGCATATATATACATTTGTATCTTTATTTTTATCACTCTAAATTAAGAATAATAATAAAATAAACAATCACGAGAATCAAAATTCTTTGTGGTTCCTTTTGTGAGCTCTTTATTACTTAACTTTGTATAGAGAATACATCATATTATACTATATTAATACATGTATTTTTTAATTAGAACGTTCGATCTATTTTTTGAATCGATCTATTTCTGAATAAACTATTTAGATACTAATTCAGGTATTCTATTTTTCAAATAAATTCCATATTTATATTGTGTGACTTGTTTTGATACACTGATACACTCACACACTGTGCTACGTCATATACATTTTTAGTAAACGAAAATAAGTTTCAACTTAAAACATTCTATTGTATAAAATTAGCGACAATGACTCAAAGACGTTGTTAACAAATAAAGGCATTATTTAAAATACCAAATCGGGTAATATAATGAATATCAAACTTCATTGCCGGAAGACGGAATTCGGAAGAAAAAAATGAAAGAATCAAAATAAGGTATGTTTTAAAAGAGATTATGACAAATTCTTTGATTTATCAAATAACTTTATTTAAATTACAATAATACAATCGTTTATTTTTCAAATACCCGTTATTATTATTGTAGTGGGAATCAGTGTTGATTCGTTACTGTGCCAGCTGTGCCACATACCGTGACACAAACAAAAAAAAAATGGGTTTAACAAAAAATTTCTAAAAATAACGATGATTCTTTTACAGGGGTAAAAATCGTTAAATAAAATAAATGAATATCAAAATTAGGGAATAATATAATAAAAAGGTTCTCTTTGTTGAATAAAACAATAAACTTTCATTCGAATGTGGGTAACTACTGCGTATGAAATTAAAAATTCGATCTTAGGGAAATTTCTGATTTTGTTTAGTTCGAAATTTTTAGTATTTACTTGATTATTAATAATAAATAATTTTTCTATAACTTTTGGGACTGAACTTTTGCGTAGGTGGATCATTTGTGCTCGATTAAATTATTTAAATAATTTTTATTTTTTAATAATGAAAATTTCGATTATTATGTAAGTGAAACGTAAATTTAATAAATTTGACATTAATTAATTAAACTAATAAATTTTTAATAATTAATTTAATTATTAAGTAGTTGCTCAAATGGTCAGTTAAACCAGTTATAAACATGATCGCTGTCATCTCCTTATATGGTACAAAAGAAATTAGAGAATCACTTTTCCGATTAAGGAAATTCATCGAGGAATGAGCGGAACCCTCTCTCGCAATTTTTATTAACTAAAGTTTGTATGACATTATATAACAAAAGATATGTTTAGTTTATTAAACAATTTTTTTAGCGGATCATCAAGGCTGACAAAAGATTGTACATGTTCCATGTGTTATTTTATTGTTGTTAAAATACTTAACATATTTGGTTTAATGCAAAATGGCTAAAATCATAATTTCGTAATATTGTGATACGCAAAATGGCACAACATTGGTACAAAATAACATAAATGATATTTATTTGTCAATCAAAAATAAATAGAGATATTATTTATCTTATATTACAAGAATTACAAGATGATAAAAAATCACTTTATTCATGTCTTACAGTTAATAAAACTTGGAGTGAAATAGTTATTCCAATATTATGGAAAAATCCTTGGAAATATTTAAGAAAAGGGAACGAAACTTTATTATTAAATATAATCATTTTACATTTATCAAATGAATCAAGAAACAAATTATCAAAATATTTTAATATAAATTCATATCAAAAACCTTTATTTAATTATATTAATTTTTGTAAATATTTAAATTTAGGTGGAATTGAAAGATTATTAATTTCTAAATCATTAATTAATATAAATGAAATTTTTAAAATTTTTATTAATGAAAATATGAAATTTACACATCTTTATATACCTCATAAATTTAATTATTATTTTATGGATCTTATTTCTGGAGTTGAAAAAGGTTTTTCAAAACTTGAATTCCTTAGTTGTAATACTAACATAAATGATGATACTTTAATTGGATTGGTGGAAATTTGTAAATCAATCAAAGAATTGGAACTTTACGTTGAACCTTGTAATAATAATGATGAAATTATTAAATTAATTGATTCCCCTAAAAAATTAATTAATATTCGTTTTTTAACAAAACCTTATTCTTCAAATGATGAATTATTTTGTGGTATTCTTGAAAATTCTTTTATTAAACACGCAAATCATTTACAATATTTTAAGATAACAAAACAACCTACAACAAAAATACTTTCTTCTTTTATAAATTTAAAAAGTTTAGAATTATATGATAATTCTCGTCCTATGTCTTGGAATTGTTTGGAAAATTTATCTTTACCTTATTTACAAATTTTAAAAGCTACAGGAATTCCAATCAAAGTTTTAACAAGTTTAATTGATCATACTAATGGTCATCTTATTGAAATAAAAATTGATCATATAAGTCATAATGAGATTAGTAATAAAAAAATTATTCAAACTATTTATAAAAAATGTCCAAATCTTGAATATCTTAAATTATTATTTATTAATAATAATATTTTAGAATTAAGAGAATTATTAATTAATTGTAATCATTTAATTGGTTTATATATTATTTTTGAGGATGTTTGGGATGTTAATGTTATGATTGATTATAATATTATATTTAAAATTTTATCTGATAATTCTTCAATTAGTTTATTTAAATTGAAATTTTATTATCATAGAGAACCTGAATTAAAATCTTTTGAATTCTTTTTTGATAATTGGAAAATTAGAATTCCAATGCGTCCTATATTATTACAAACAATTCAATATCATGTTTTATATGGAAGTGAACATTTTGATTTAATAGAAAAATATAAAAAAAATGGTATAGTTAAAAAGTATGAAAATGCTTTAAGTGAAAATACTTTTCAAGATTTTGAATGGTAAAAGGATATTAGGAGAGGAGGTTTTTTTTTTTTATATATTTGAAATTTTGAAATTTTGAAATTTTGGATAATTTTTATTTTGTTATTATATATTTGACATATTAATAAAAGGTCAAAAAATAGTTTTTTTAATGATGGTTATGTTTTTTCCTAATGTAAATTTTTAAATATTTTATTAGTATTAAAATGTTAATTTCGGCCAACATTATGATTCGGCCGGAATTAATACTAGTTTTTTGGAAGTACTTCAACGACCTGTTGGATCACCTGGTCATTCGACCATTACCTAAATCATCATGATTTTGATTGGTTAACAACTTATCACATGATTTTAACCGAAAATCAAAAAAAATTTATAGTGCTGGGCAACATTAGCCTCAAATGACGGTTTGTTTTAAAAAAAATGATTGTAAGTGGTTTATAATATTTATGATATGAGAGACCCAAAGAATAAAAAATGATATATATAAAATTATTATTTTTATATGTATTTATTTATTTATTGAATCGGAAAAACATATTGAGGTTACAAAGAACTGATATCCGTTGTAGGATCCGATACCAGAAGCGATAAAAAAATTATATGATTTCGAATTTGCGACCAGTTGCCACTGTGTAAAATATATGATAAGGACGTGCCAGTGATCCACTAGCCAGGATTGAAAATGATATCAGGTTGAGGATCTTCAGGTGTTATTACGGTTTGGGCGTTGTAAGGTTTATTTATGTTCACTTTTTCGCGTTTTTTCAGACGTTTCATGATGCCGTTTTGTTTTTCCCAAGCGACTAGCAACTCATTACCAGGCGATTCACCTCCCAAGCGACTAGTAACTCGATCAGATTCTTCTTCATATTTCCAAATTGAAAATTTATCATAATTTCTTTCTTTAAAAATACAGCGCTGTATAAATACAGAATTTTCCTCTGATTTTCTGTGAGAAGATATTAAAGATGGCTAATAAAGTGTGTTTAGCGACAGAGGGTTTAGGGATATATTTATTGATAAGCATTGTTAGTTGTTTATGAATACGTGGAGCATTAAGTATACATTCATCGTAAGGATCCATTTAAAAATGTCTGAATTATTGAGTAAGCGGTGATATGAGGATGAGCTTGTTGAAGTGTCATCTATAAGTCTATAAATTTTTGAGTATATCTTTACTGAGTCCGGTCCGATGATCTTTCTGAGTCCAGTCATGTAAATTTTTAGCACAGTCATGTGAATTTTGATGCAGACCGAATTTAAACTTTGATCAGACTTCGCTACCACTGGACCTGGACTAAATTAACTGTGCTGAGTCCTGTGATTTTGATCAATCGGACCAAACTAAATTTACATGACCGATCTACATTTTATTTTTTTTTCTCGTATTTAATAATTTTTAGTTTAGATTTAAATAAACATTTTTTTATACAATAAAATGGTTAAAAGCTTTAACAAAATTAATTGCATCTTAATTTATTGAAGCAAGAGGTTATATCATTACTAAAACCATTATCTCATTAAATATTTAATAGTAAAAAAATTTTTTTATAATAACTCTCATTATAAAGCGAATGTAAAAAAAAAAGTCGTGTAGATCAAGCTCTATAATCAAGTAATTTTAAGCGAATCATTGGACCGCAAGGTCTGATGATCCGGACCCAAATTCACATGACTATGCTAAAAGTTGACATGACTGGACTCAGGAAGATCATCGGACTGGACACCGTAAGGCATAACCTTAAATTTTTCTATAAGTAGTTGTTTATGATCTAACAATAAAGATTTTGATGTATCTTATTCCTGTGTGCAATACACGTGTATAAGCGTTCGTTGTCTTCAGTAGCTGAGAAACATTTTGGCATGTTCACATATAGTGTAGGAGATTACGGTACATTTTTCCGAAGCCATTTTGCCGAATGGATGTTTCGCTAAGGGGATGTTTCACAAGTACATTTCGTCCATTTCACCGAATTCTATTTCATTGAATAGTACATTTCGCCGAAAATGGTTTGCGACTAACATTTTTATAAAGAATATTCAACGCGTAAATGAAGATAAAAAAAAAAAAAATTCTATTTATTTTAAATCTCTTTTTTCAGGATATTTCAATCTAACATTCAAGTTACTGATATTAATTGTTATACAATAAGTATTAGTATATAGTATATAAATACATTTATACACGAAAAAGTAAGTAAAAAACATTAATGTATTATAAACAACCAATCTATAAAGATTAGATAAATTTAATAAATTTCATCTAATTCAATAATTTTCTAGATAAAGATTTCTTTATCAGTAATGTATTTAGTATTAATAACCAAAATGAAATAAATAATTTTTCAGAGAAACGTTTTATTCGGAAAATGTCCATTTGGTGAAAAGGCTTCGGCAAAATGGTTCGGTGAGATGGATTTCGGCGAAAAGTCCCGATACCGATGTAGGGCTATATAGGTTTAGCGCGGCCAAAATTAGGTAATATGTGGAGACTGGAGGGTATTTTTGATTTGTGGAATAATTTTAGTTTTATCGAAGGATCAACCAGATAAGTGTCCAGTCGATTAGATCCCGGTGTAAGCTTTTGATGTTGACTAACTTCATTGTTGAACGACTGTGCCTGTAACGGAATTCTAAGAAATTTTCGTATGTTTTGATCATAGGAATGCTATTATTCCATTGAACAAACGCCAAAGGGCGCAGCAGAGTCACAGGTGTGACAAATACAGTGTAGTGTTCAATACAAATAATGCGCGCCATACACGCACGAATATTATTATAGTACATCGTTCGAACCAATAAAGTGACAAGTGAATTGTAATGGCTTCTTTGATGCTTATTTTCATTACTTTCATTAATAACTTCCAAATATAGTTTATTTATTAAATATAATTAAAGCGAGGCTAAAGTTATTTGCTCACAATGGATTTTGTATAACTTGTTTGTTGCTTTGTATTATTAAATAATATAAACAAAGCTTTAATCGTAGACCTACCGTTCATTAATTATTTTCTGATTTTCTAATTAATGAACAACTCTAAAAAAGAATTTTGGTCCACTTGAAACTCTTTTTAATAAAGAAAGTGCAATAATGACACAAAAAAATTTAATATACTTTACGTTATGGTTTTTACTTCAATTATTAATCGGAATAAATTGTCAAATGACGCCCTATAAGCCAATGGAACGATCGAGACATACTGCAACGCTCATTGATGATAAATTGTATATTTTGGGTGGTTACAAGCCTCTTGAAGTTGGAAAAGATTTTTTTTATCTTGATGTCTCTGTCCCATTTATTACTCGAAATTTGTTATGGAAAGATTTATCAAGCATTAATACTGTTCCTTCACATTATCATGCTGTATCAGTGAATGGTGGTGAGAATAATAATAGTTTATTCTTATATGGAGGATATGTCGATGTCACTGTAACGGATTTTGTTTATATCTTTAATCCGAAAAGTAATTCATGGAGTATCCCACAAATAATTGATAATATTCCTCCAAAATTAAATGGCAATATTTCTATGAAAAAGAATGTATTGACCGGTATTATAGACCGAAATGGAAAAATGTATCTATGGGGTGGACTTGTACTCGGGAAGAATACACATTTTTTTAATAATGATATGCTTATATTAGATACAAAAAAGCTTATTTGGGAACTGGGAAGTTCATTTGATGCGCCGACTGCAAGAATGAATTATGGTGCCACTTTATTACCTGATAATAGGATAATTTATATGAGTAAGCAAAGTTTTTATGATTTTACTATTTTAACAATATATTGTTTTTAATAAACTATTTGTTATTCAAGGTGGTTTCAATGGTGATGTACTAACATTGAACCAGGTAAATTATTATAATTAATTTTGCGATCTTTGATTTAAATATATTTACAAAACAAATTGACTAACTATAATAATTTCATTTTTAATATATTTATAGGTCTATTTATATGATACAATCAACGATAATTGGAATACAAAAGTAAGTTGATATAAATTACTCAATCAAAAAATAATTCACCGCCTAACATCATCTTTCTTAAATATAGACGACCTCAGGAATAGTGCCTTCCGGTAGGAATGGTTTTTCTGCCGTTCTCGGTATGTGTTTAAATAAAGAATATAATAACAATTGAAACCCGTTTCATATTAATAAATCTTATGTTAATAGGATCGGATGGCCAAAGAGTAATAATTTATGGAGGTGCTCCTGCTTTAAATCAAAAATTTACACCTGAAAATTCACTTTATGAATTAAATGTAATTAATTTTGAATGGCATATTCCAAAAATTTCTGGAATAATTCCAAAAAGTCGAGCGTATCATAGTGCAAATGTAATTGGAAAATATATGGTTATAACATTCGGTAAGTAAATTTTTTTTAGACTATTATTTGGATTAACATACGATTTTAAAAATATATAATTAATTAACGATAGGTGAAGGTTATGACCGATTTACCGAAAGTGATATTTTATTACTTGATATTAGTAATGTTGACGAATATATATGGACATATGAATTTTATCCTCCACCTCTTCCACAATCAAGTACAAGTTCTGGTAAAGTACTAACATCACCATCACCATCAACAATATCACCATCAATTATAGTACAATCACAATCGGCACCTTCTATGACCGGCGCGATTATAGGATCTTTGATTGGTGGTGCGACTTTATCTTCTGTAGGTTTCCTTTCATATAGATGGAATAAAAATAGACAGAAAAGTAATAATAATAATAACCAAGAAGAAAAAAATACATATAATCATGGACGAGAAATTGAACAAATACAAAATGAATTTATAACTAATCATGAGCCAATAAGTACTCCAGATTCGATAATTAATAATTGTAGCAATCATGGACAGGAATCGATTCCAATTGTTGATGATAATAGGTTAACGTTGCATGAACTTAAACAAGAAATTCAAGATTTGAGACAAATAATTATACAAAGTAATAAACAATCCACTAATCCTATTAAGTAATAAAACGGTATGGTAATAAGTATGATAGATTGAATTATGAAAAACTTAACAATTAAGTTATTTATCATCTTTTTTTTTTAAAAAAAATAAATATTTTTAATTTATAGAATACAATGTTTTTAATAAAGAATCTTGAATGGATAATGATAAATCTGATTTTTTTTCGATGTGAGGTGGGAAGTTTCTAACCTAAATTATGTACATAATTTTCAAATAAATTTTTGCCTACTTTAACCTGGCTTTAAAAGTTTTAATCTTTAACGACCTAATATAAACTTTTTTTCTTATGCTTGCATGATATATAAATTTTTAAGGTGAAATAGGGGTAAAAGATGATAAAATATATGACTTTAAGACAAAAGTAACAAGAAGATTTATTGGTGCATCAAATAAACTAAGTGTTAAATTTCTTCAACATAGGCTTATGAGGCAAAGTTGTAAAATAAATAGGATTTGATGAATTAGCGGTGATGTCATCAGCTTAGTAATAGTTTTCACAAATCTACAGTTATAGTAGAAGATATAAAAATTTGATATGAATAAAAAACGATTAATAAGTCCCGGGCCCTTTTTTACACATATTTCCGTATACCATAAATCACGTTGGAAAGCTTGCCCCAAGCTCTAAGTTTAATTTCTGTCTGAATGATGGGTAATTGTCCATTACATTCAATAAATTCTATAAAATGGTATAGGATAATAAATAACATTAGAAAAAAAAATAAAAAATTTTAATGAAACCATTAGAATAAATAATATTTTTCGGTAAAAAATAAATTCTATGCCGAATTTTATTAATAACGAAACTTAATTTTTTTAATAAACGTTCATAAATTTTCTATCGATTCAAAGAATGATAATGATCATTCGAATAATAAATTAACACTAATTACTAGAAAGTAGAAATATATCCAAGATAATGCTTATTTCTTTTTTTATTATTTAATAAGAAAAGACAAATCATAAAAAGGTGAAGCTATATGGATGAAATTATCAAAATAATAAATAATAAGGATAAACATTTTATTTTATTGCACGTTATAATATAAATAAATAAATAAATTTAAATTACAAACTAAGAATCTTCTTAAAAGATGTTTAATCTTACTACTCTAGTCTTAGTGTTTAAATAATTTATAATAAGGATAACTTCGATTGTAATAGTATTTGTAAAATACATCAGTATCTAAATATCTAAATACATTATTAAAAAAATTTAATCAATAACTTTAAAGTTAAATAAACATTGTTACAAAAAAAGATCCTTACTATCGGGAATTTCCAACTCATCTTGTTCTTCTGAATGAAGATTAGGATTGTTGTACACTTCATTCTCATCTATATTAAAATAAATTAAAAACAGCATAAAATAAATTCTATAATTAAATAATTATTTCACATACCATCAATATCAATATTCTTTCTTTGTTGTATTATTTCTTCTTTAAAACAATTACTATTTTGAATATCTAAAAGATTTAATGAAATTAGTTATGTTTAATATTAAGAGATTAAATTAACAAATCAATTATTACTACTTTACTTGCCATTTTTTGAATTTTTTTTAAATATATTAAATAATTTTTTGCTATTAACTAAATAATTTAGTAAAATTATTATTCATTCATTTTGATTATTTCTTAAAATAAATAAAATATAGATTGGTCAAATTACCTTTAATTATACTACTTATTCTTGATGTTCTATTCTTCTGATTATTTAATTTATCAAAATCATCAACTAAAAAACATCAAATCAATTAGTTAATGCGCAAATTAGTATTAATTTAATAATACTTACTGTTATCAGGAATGCAAAAGTTATAAGATTTACTATAAAATTCTATAAGATCAAAAAATAATTATCTCATTTATAAATAAGAAAATTTAAAATAATAACTTATTACCTTCTAGTTCTTCTATTATTTTATATTATTTTAGTTAATAATATTATTAGCATTAATATTCTCTAAATAATTAACTAGAAAAGTAAATAATATTTATTACCTTCCGTTGCATTTCTTGGTCCAGAAAGATTTTCAAATTGATAAACTTTACTTGTACTATACGTATAATTTTTTAGACTATTGATATTATTATTTGTTTCTAAATTATTATTATTTTCTTCTGGTTGGTTAGATTTACTCTGATAAAAGTAATTGAGATTTCTTATTTTATTGCGAAGTGTTTTGATAACAGGTCTTTTTGATGGATCAGCATCCCAACATTGTTTCATTAAATTTTTATATTCTAAAGGAGTTCCTGGTACAATTTTTGGTCTTATGCCATTAACAATTTTCATAGCAAGATCATAATTATGTTCATAATTAATAAATGGTGGTTGTCCAGAAGAAATTTCCCACATAAGCATTGCAATACTATAAATATCAGATTTAAAAGTCGGTTCTTTTCCAATAATAACCTCAGGTGCTATATAAGGAAGATTTCCATATATACTTTTTAATGGTTTATCTGTAGGTCCACAAAATCCAAAATCACTAATACTAGCCATTCCATTAAAATTAAATAATATATTACCAGAATGCAAATCCCTATGAATTGCATTCTCATTATGAACTCGTAAAAGTGCTTTAATTATATTAGCAACAATTTGAATTCTTTTTTTCCATGTAAGTTGATTATGATTTTTTGTAAATATTTTCTTAAATCTATGTCCATCTTTCTCATTACAAGCATATAACTCCCATTTGATGGATCTTGTGTTAATCCATGACATCGTACAACTTCTCCCCATTTACTACTTATAGTTAAATGTGATTTAGTCTACAAAAAGAATGTATTAAAATTTTTAAATAAAAGTTTAGTTATTATCTTTTCAAAATATTTCTAGATTACAAACCTCTTCAAACCAATTTTGATTTGCATTTTCAACATTTTCTAATCTTTTAAGTACTACATTCTGTCTTCCACGTCTTTCTAATCGTTGTTCTTTAGAATCCCATTTATCATATCTTCCATTAATCCATGTTGCTGTGTAAATCTCAGAGCATCCACCTTTTGTTAAATATTTAATATTTTGAAAATTATTATATGGGATCCATTCAATTATATAAGATGGTCCAAGTGTTTTCAGTTGGCATTCTTGCACTAAATTATCAATATCATCATTTCTAGATGTCCAATTTAAAAAATTTGCCTTTAAATAATTCCGAACACAATGCTCACAAAATAATGTTGCTAAACATTCTTTGTTACAATTTTCACAAATTCTTTTTGTTCCTTCATTAAGAAAAACTTTATCCATATCATAAAGTCTAGTCAATAATCTTATTGCTTCAGATTTTTCATTTTCTGTAAGTGAATCATCAACAAGAATTATTTGTTTTTTAAATTCATATTGTTTATGTTGATTATTGTAAATACTCTGATCTATTAAAGCATATGCTCTATTAATTGCAGTATAAACTAATTCTTTACAAATATCAGACATGCTTAAATTTTAAAAGAATTTTAAAAAAAAAGATTCAAGACGAAGTTGGTGCATAATTTGTATAGCCTAATGGACGTTACAGTCGGTACAGACGTTACACGCTGTAAATTAAAAAAATGTACTACCGAGTCTGTGATTCTGATTTACATATGATAGACAAATCACAAATTACCGTACTAAGATAATAAATATGTAACACATACTGTGTAATACAGTAAATATTAAGACACGTAATATAGCGCGAATGGATTGAAGAACTTGATATTAATTATCTGTAAGTTTGCTGAGATGCTAAAATCGATATTGAATATAGAGTTTAAATAAATATTAAACTACATATATTAAGGCAAGTAATACAAATTTCAATATTACAGTTGAGCTATAAAAGGATTCTAACTAATCTAATATGTTAATTAATAAGTATGTTGTAAAATATATTTTTCCTGATGTAGTTGATAAAAACTGTTATTAATTATGAGTAAATATTATTAAATCTTTGTATAAAATACTGTATAAATTTTTCAACAAATGAAATATACTTAAAAGGTCTAAATTTCTCTCCATAAATTTATAATAATTGGTTAATATTATCATGATCGTATTTCCAATTTTTGTATTACAAAATCAGGAACACTGTGTTATTTGTATGTCACACTAAATAATAGATTATTACATAATACAATAAGTATTCAGATTGTATAACTATGCATATAATATGACTCATAGTTAAAACCACTTTCAAGAAAAAAAAATTTTTTTCTAAACTTCTATTTTCCCTTCCACATAAAGATGACCCTACCCACTTTTAATATAGATATTATTTTTGAAATTATTAATAAGTTAAAAGATGATGGTGCTAGTTTATTCAATTTCCTACTTTTGAATAAGCAGATTTGTGAATTAACAATCCCTATTCTTTGGGAAAATCCATTTAAATTTTGCAATATAAAAGTTGAAAGTAAACATTATTTTATCATACAAACTTATATTAATTGTTTCAATGAAGATGATCATAAGAAAGTTATCTCAATCTTAAACAGTGAATTCGAGAACTATAATGAAAATAAAATACCACTTTTATTTGAATATGGAAAATATTTAAAAGAATTTAATATTCGTGATTTAAGTAATGCAGTAATTTCATGGTATAAAATTTTCAAAAAAAAAAATTATTTAATGAACCCAATTTATCATAATGAAGTTGAAATATTAAAAAACCATCTCTTTCATTCAATTATGAGACAAAGTCAAAGATTAAATTGTTTAAATTGGAATATACGTTTTAATGATAAAAAAATATTGAAAATCATGCAACACAAAATTAAATATTTGGATCATCTTATATTATATTGTGATGGGGAGTATGATATCAATATAGCAAGAATGTATATTAATTTTTTTAAAAATCACTTTCAAAATCTTTCTAGTTTAAAAATAAATATATTATATGATAATAAATGTACAAAAGATTTTATTTCTCTTGTAAAATCAAAAAATAATCTAGAGGAATTCATTTTTGATTATAAAAGTGTTAAATGGAATGCTGATAAATTTGATGATCTTATCACAAATATTTTAGAATTAAGAGCAAATTCTATAACTAAATTGGTATTAAACAATTTGGATTTTAGCAAAATATCATTTGATTATATTCTTAAATGCATTAATTTAGAAGTACTGGTATTAAGATCTAATGAAGGATTAAAATTTGAAGATATTGATTTATTTACTTCATTCAATAATCTTAAAAAGTTAGATTTATCTTTTAATGATTGGTCATCTGAGGTAACTACTTTGATTATAAAAAAAGCTGGAAATAATTTATCTTCTTTAACAATTGGTGAAGAAGATAATAAAAAATCAATTAATGATGATACTTTAATTGCTTTGACTCAATATTGTCCAAATATTAATTCATTATCAATTTCTGGGGTTTGTAAAAAAGGTTTTGAAATGATTTTTAAATATATTAAAAATTTTAGGCTAGTTACTTTACAATTATATCAAAATAAAATGAAAGGTACAATTATGAATTTAGAAGGTCTGTTGAATTACATGGAATATGAAGAAACTTTATCAACATTAGGAATAGGTATAAATGATGATTATTGGCATTACTATAATTATGATCGTGATAATTTTAAAGATTTCTTAGAGAAGCATAATATTAGATTAATACTATATAAACCTAGATTTTACTATTAAATAGAATAAATTAGTAATACAATTATGGTATAAGAGTTGGATAATGATATAATTTTTTATACTGTACAAATCTGTACATGCTTCTTAATAAACAAATCTTCAAATTTTATTGGTATAAAAATATACTACTCTTGAAATGCGATTACGTCGATATTAAGATGGAAGTTGCTCATAAAGACTTATACCTATATTTTTTATGCTAAATAATACAAATTCTTTCGTTGTTATTAAATATCTGTACGAAATAAAAAAGAGACAAGAAAGATAGAAACGGAAGTAATAATGCATTTTATTGAGTTTAAATAATCACGCTTCTATTTGATAATACTTGGGAACTTTTATGGTCATCTTGAATCAATGAATCATGCCTTGTCAATAATTTTAATAATAAATAATAATTGTAATAATTTGAATAATCATATATCAATATTGTAAAATCATATGTGTGTATAGCAATGTAACTTCATTTTATTCAAAGTGTGATTTGGTTCTATATAAATTTTATAAAAAGGTTATTTTGAAAGAAAACATCAAATGGAAACCATTCAAAATCTCAACAATATACAATAATTATCCTGAAAATTCAAAACTCTAAAACTCGACACTTATTGTCCCAACAATTATTATCTGATAATTATAATTTTTTTTTTTTTTTTCGCAAAAAAATTAATCTTTTTTCTTATATAATAATGTTATAATACTTTGTAAAACTTTGAATGATTTTTTTATTTAACGCAATTAATATTTTTAATACCGTAATTTTTTTTAGTAACGAAATAATTTTATAATACTTCGTAAGAAATTAAAAACTTGTTTGGAATCAAGGTCAGTGTCAACTTGATAATTATCACATAAATTAAATTTCCTAAAAATTAATTTTATTTTATTTTTTTTTTAAAAAAAATTCTAAAAATTAATTTTAAAGTTTATCGAAAATATCTTATCAATATATCCTTAACATATTGTGATTTTTCTTTTTAAATAGTAAACATACTTATTTATAACTCCGTTCCAAATAATATTATTTCTCTATATACAGTATATAGAGTCTAGATTCTATAAGTACGTAACCATCAATCAATGCTATAGAATGTTACGATACAATCAAATGAGTTTGCGCCGTATCCATGAATAAATCAAGAAAAATGAATTATAATCGATTTCAATTGGAAGAACTATTTTATTAATGAAGACGATGCGCAAATATAATTTGGATTTATAAATTTGTTTCGTTATTTCTTTGGGTAAAAAGTATTATTATCTTTCATCTTGATATGTGTTTGAACCTTCATAATGAAGGTTAGGTAAGTTTTCACTATATTCTAAAGGTTCTTGTGCGTGTAATAATATTGGTATTAAAATTAAAGATATTAAAAACGGACATTTTATAATTTTTTTTTTTTACGAACAATTCGTTTTATGTCACTATAAATTTATAAAATTTTACTCCTAATACTATATTTATGAATGTCATTCACTCATGAAAATTATTCTCTCGTTGTAACAAAGCAATATATTATGGTTTTAATTCTTCAGAATCACGTGAAATATTATTCTTTTTCTAAGAAATCAGATAATCAAAATAGAAGTCATTCAGTTATCCATTGTAAACTCGAAAGATCGGGAAAAAAGAATTAAGTATTATGTTTCTTAGTTAAGAAAGAAAAAGACCAAAAAAAGAGCAACTCATTAATGATCAATATTTGAAGCCAAAATGAGAAACGACCTCTCTAGTCAGTAGGTCTGTCACGTAAATCACATGATAATGTTTAAATCATGTGATATTTGTTACGACTTACGAGAGTGTTTCTTTTGTATTATGATAATTTATAAACATAATTTTTATTTTATTTATTAAAGAATATATTAAATTAATTAATTTTATTAAAAACTTTTAAATCTAGTCGTACACATCTTTTATTATTCTCATTAAATTTTAGTCTTGTCTCTCCATGATCTTGACATTGTCGGCGTTCATATTCTCCTAGATCATTTACTCTAGAGGATTAAAATTAGCCGCAATATTTTCAGCAATATTTTCTAACCATTTTTTTTTTTTTTTTTTTTTTTTGAGACAAATTAGCAGAATTTCTTGAATAATAGTGAGTCTAAAACAAAGATTTATTTATATTCGTTTAGTTAACCAGTTGAAAATAAATCTCTTACTTCGTCTAATATTGTCTTGAACTTAATTTTCATAGTTCGCAACACTCTTCATAATTATTATCTCTTCATCAACATTTTTACCTTCGTCAATATTTCTATCTTCATCAACTTTATCTTCCAAATTCTAATATGCTGGTAGATTAGTAGGAGTGTCACTTGAATTTTGTTTGTACCGAAGTTCTTACCGTAATGTCAAATTTTGAAAGTAATAATGGACAAGTCTCTTTCTTCGAACCTATACATTAAATAATGTTAATATGATGACAAATGGCTATAATAGGTTATTCAGAATTCGCATAAAATTTCTACATAATTTAATATCAACGTCTTCCTTTGATATAGGTGCTCACCTGCTATGAGACTCAAATAGAATTATAGCTTGACTTTAATGAGTCCGTCAATTTTGTGATGTTTTGTATGTTAATCCTAATTCCTAAATAAAACAAAAAGAAAATTAACAAATGAGCTTTATCATTTTTAATTTTACAAATTGATATTGATATTTACCATACAAGTTCGACCACATCGATCTTGATGCATACAGAATAATCTACTAATAATATATACTGTTGTATCTATTGAGTAAGTTCAATGTTTTTGTTTTCAATTCTTGTTGGTACTTCAAAATCACTCGGAACTACTTATAGAAAAATTATTTAAGTATTTTGTTGTGGTTGTTAAATATTTCAAATAAACACTTACAAATGTATTAAAATCCGTTGTGCGATATTATGACCCTCATGACGAAAGGTATTGAATGATTCAATTGAAATTACAAAAGACTTGAGTTGCGAACCATATGAAATGTTTACCATATCACAAATATCTTCGGTGAATTGATTTGCGTAATTCTTAAATTTATTTAGTAAAAATGTACACTAATAAATAAACTTGATACTTGATTTTGTAAATACATATGACTGAAGTTTTAAATAAACTTGATACTTGATTTTGTAAATACATATGACTGAAGTTTATTTTACGACGCATGAGATATACTAAGGCCCAGTCACCAGGAAATGAGGGCTAGATTTTTTAAATTTACGTATAATACCAGCCCTAACCTTTTATCAAGATGCTTATATTGAACTCCAGCAGGAATGTGGCGCTCAACGAGATAATAAAAGGTGGCCTGTATGTTTTCAGGATTTTTGTTTGCGAACTATATTGAGCCATTCAATTTTGTCCTAATTTCTTCTTCACCTTGATACTATATGTCAATTAATTCTGTTTTGCTCTCTTCTAGGTCAGGTGATACGCTATCAAGATTTTGTGACTTGTCAAAGGAAGCAGATATGAAGGAACTTCATACGGTTTTAATTGAATTTAATGATGATGAATTATCTTTCGAAAATTAAAATGCCCAGCTAAATTAATGGCTCTATTATTGCCAATGAGTGGATCATCAATATCATCATCTACATTCCTGCCTGTGGTTTTATCTGTTCATATGAGAAAACTTTTGAGGAATTCGTGTGAACAAATCCTTATCATAAGTTGCATTTTATATGGACCTTTTTAACTGAGACATCCAATTTTCTATCCTGTAGATACAATAAAGCCATTAATAAAACGTGCTCATCATAAAATCCAAGGCGATATTTTTATATCAAAAAAAATTTCACCAACTTTTTGAGATGATAGATTATTTTTTTTTTTTACACTTTTGTCTAAATGGCAAATTCTGCGTGTGAATTAACTTCACCAATGTATTCGTTGCTTTTTTGACTACAAGAAGCATCAAGCATATTCAATACGTCAATCTGTGATCAATATATCCTAAAGAAGGTTGGCAAGTGATAACACAACTGATATCATTAACACTTTAAAGAGCCCTATTTAAAGTCCATACACACCTCCTTAATCGCCAGCTGTCTTTTAACCCAAAGCTTCAGGTGAGTATTTCTAAGAAAACTTGAAATAATTAGTAAATGTAAATCAAGTAGGTAGTACATTTCGTACATGACTCATGATCTTTCTAGGGGAATGATACCCACACCTATCACACTGGAGAACAACACCCCTACCCACAGGAAGGTCAACACCGCTTTAGGCTATGCAATAGTAGAGAAGCTCGTGAAATGTCACGCTAGAAATGACACTTACACTCTATACCTCTAGGAGGAATTCACCATCCAGAGGTCGTGCACATCCCACCTTTTATGAACCAGAAATAAGGTTTAAATAAAATGTTGACGAACCTGTTGAACTAGCAAAGTTGCAATTTCAAATCACAGTTTATTACTGTCATTATATATCCTTTGTTCTTCTTCATTGACAAGAACACCAGCAGAAAGGTTAGAAATTGTTTTCGTTATATGGATTCTCATTTGTCTAATGAACCTTGAACTGAATTAGGATGGAGTTTCATTGTCTCAAGAAAACCCAATGCGACCACTTTAATACCAGAATACTCTCAAAGTATGACCGGATTGATAAATCTAATCGCAGACATTATGCGAAAAAAACAAATGTAAATCAGTTCTTCGCAAATATTTTAAAGATATATAATAAAATTAATATATAGATAGTTTCATACCTGCTGAACAAATTTTCTTAAACCTCCAAGGCATATTCCAGTTAACAAAGTACTGAAATTACGCTATGAAATGAAAAACGCGCACGTAGTAAAGCAGTATGTAGTATTATGTAAAAAAATACTTAATAAAACATAATAATTAACAATTAAAACCAACTTCGCAGATTATTCAGTTTTTATTTAACAAAAAAAAATGTTGAAGTGATGTTGAAAAAAAAAAAAGAAAAAAAGATGAATAAATAAATCATGCCATACAAAATATAGACCAATGAAATTTCCTGATTTATATCACGTCGGTGATTTCATATAAAGTTACGCCACCAAGTACGCACAAATTTTATGAATTACTAAAGAAGTAAAAAAATTGCTTGTTTTTTATAGGCTATGATTGCAAAATTCTATACCAAATCATATGTAAATTGCACATAAATCAAATACTTTGTATAAATATCATATGATTATTTTCATAGGGAAATTGTATATCATAATAATCATATGCTAAAATTTATTTAGATAAACAAAAATCCTATGGCTATTTTTATCCATAAAACTGTAATAATTGTAGAGTTTCCATATAGACTTGTATGAAAACTGTTTGACCTAGTAGATAATTTAATCCAATAATAGTGATATTAATGGAAGAATAACGATGAGAAATCAACTTAAGATTCGTGCAAATAATAATGGAGGTAACAGGCATGGCTAAAACAATTTCTCCAAAGCAGATTTTAAGGGCAAGACTATCGAAAAATTCGAAGTGCGTATAAATCAGATAAATAGGCAGCCACTTACTTACAATCGCAAAAGTAATAAATAAAATTCGTTTTTGAAGAAGTAATTTTTTTAAGGTTGAAAATTTTTGATAATCGCAATTTGTATTAGGATTTGTACAATCTTTATAGTATTTTAAATACCTGATGTCGTGATGTTTTAAATGGAAAACTTATAAATTTTGATGAAATGAAAAAAAAGTTTTCATATCAGAGGAGCAACTTACTATAAGTTAAACTTTTTATAAAAGTTAATTCAACTTTTGATTATTTTTAGATAGTCATCCTTAAAAAAAGAAATATTATGAATATTTTTTATATTACAATTTTTAATATATTCAATGTTAATTTATCAATTAACTTCTCCTATCAATCCTATGTACATTAAAATCCAAATTTACAATTAAATTTGTCTAATATATTTTAATGGTATAAATTTCTGATATATATATATTTAATACTGTAGTTACAGTATTTACGATCATCGTTATTTGTCAAGTGAACTTGCGTCTTTAGATAAATAATAATTTTTTTTTTTTTTTTTTTTTAATCCTTTAAAATAAATGGCAAAGATTAAATAAAAAATTGTCGTACTTTTTGGTCGAAATTAAATTTGATGTATCGGAAAAAAAATTTTCCTCAACAATGAAAATCACAAATCATTTGACTAGACTGATTAGGTTTGAGTACAGGAGTACATACGCAGTCATTGTTACACATGATTGACTTATAAGTAGACCGTTCCAAAAAAAATTTTTAAAAAAATTTACAATAAAATATTTTATTATGTCTGTTACTATTAGAAAAGACTTAATTTATACTATATTTAATAAAGCATGTGAACTAGCGTATTATAGCGATATGCACAAACAATTTGAATTTCAAAAACAAACAATTCTTGCTGAAGAATTACTTACAAAAGATGAAAAATCTGAAGCAATAAAAATTTTGACTGCAAGTTATGACAAAAGCAAACTTATTGATAATAGTGGAACAAGAAGAGTTTGTGAAAATTGTAACTAAAAATGTTTAGCTACATTATGTGTCGAAATTATTAAAAAGAAAATTTTCAAATTGGACATCTGGAAATGATATTATTGATAATTTAATACAAGAATGTCAAATGAAAACACTTGAACCAGATAGTATAATTGAATGGATTCCATATAATAATTTAAAAAATATTAAATATTTAACAAAAGGTGGATATTCATACAAATAGTAGAAGACTACTTATGATTAAAGTTTATCAATTTGAAAATCTTCCTGAACCAAGAAATGCAACAGAAAATATTATTGAAATTCGTTATTTGATTTTTAATATATGGTTGATATTAATAATTAAAATCTTACCTTTTTAATTAAATAATAATGCAGAAGAACAAGAAGGTATAAATTAAACATTACAATTTTATATATTTTTATTTTAAAATAATTAAATAATAAATTATTTTCTTTTATTAGCATTTCACAGTTAATAAATCATACAACTTTCATATTCCCAATAACAGTAAGTATATTAGATTTATGTTAATATAATAAGATAGTACTTTATTTGATTTATTTTTATCTATTAGTTGATAATTTTGATAAGTTGAATAATCAGAAGAATAGTTCAAAAATAATTAACATTTTTAAAGGTAATTTATAAGACATATTTAATATTATTTCCTTTAGATAATCAAACAAATTAAATTTACATTTTAAACTTTTTAGTTGGTAGTAAAAAATTATCCAAAATATTCAAAAGGAATTCAAAAAAATGGTAAGTAATATGATTAATATTATCAAATTTAATTGTTTAATATTGAACATAACATTATTTTAATTTTTAATATTCAAGAAACAATGCAGCAACAAATAAAAATATCATGATAATATTGATGGTATGTAATATAATTATTTAAACTGATTATAATAATTATAATAATAATAATAATAACTAATTTAGTATTTTCTAAATAATTATTTTATTTGTAGATGATGAAATACATAACAATCCGAATCTTCATTCAGAAGAACAAGACGAATTAGAACTTCCGGATAGTAAGGATTCTTTATTTTAAATTTGAAATTTTAATTAATTTAAAAAATCACTACTAAAGTCTTTTTTAATAAATTTTTAGATATAGATAAATAATCATCTTCTATGTAATACTATTATTACACAAAGTATTTTTATATAATTATTTAAACACTAGGACTAGAGTAATAAGATTAAATATTTCTTAGTTTGTAATTTAAATAATTTTATTTTTTTTTTGTTTTTATATTATAACTTATCAATAAATTACTTTATAAAAATTATTCAATTATTATATATTATGATTAGAACTAATTTAAGATGATTTCACTGAAAAGTTAATAGTTAGTTATCTGAGAAATATATATACTGTATATCATCAAGTCGTGAAAATCACTGAAATTTTTATAAATTATGAAATCATCATATTGTAGTATTTGTTTATTTACTATCTAGCAAAAACTTTTATCAGTATATCCAGTTCATAAATGATCGATAGTCAAATTATTACTTTGTGCTTGTTCATTTTCATTTGATTCTTCATTTTATGTTTCAACAACTAATTAAAATCTTTTAAAACATTTTTGTAAAAATTTCAAGATCATTTTTCGTTTAAAAATAATCAAGTAAAAAAATAATAATAAATTTATTCAATAAGTGATAATTTAATTTGATATTAAACTACCTAGAATATTATTGTCAGATTAGTTTAATATACAGTACGTAATAATGTAAAGATAAAATTAATTTGCCAATTTATAATTTATTTTTATTAAACCAGAATACATACAAAACCCATAAATAATAACTAGTATAAAAGAAATAATTTAATATTATAATTTTAATTAAACTAAATTCTTTGATTCTCATAAAAAAAAATCATTCAGTATTATTTTCTTCATTTTGATTAATTTCTTCAAGATCTACAAAGTAAGCAAATTAATAAGTATTAGCAAAATAAAGAACTAAAGAATAAATAATCTTACCTAATTCGTCTAATTGACAATCAAAACATTCGGAATCTATAAATTAATTAATATGATATTAAAACAATATAAAGATTTATTAATTATATTGATTTCCAATAGAAATAATTACTTACGTAATGTTGTTTTAGTAATGTCTATTAAAAAATAAAGTTATTAGTAATGCATTTTTTTTTGGTGACCAAAGTAAAGTTAAATTAAATTACCTGAATTTACTGGTTCTGGAAGATTTTTGAAATTTAAAAGTCTACTAGTATAGATTGCTTGTGGATGTGTTTGAATGTTATTAGATCTTTTTTCACTTCTTCTGTTTAATTTGATTTTATCATCATATTCATTTACTTGAGATTTAATATCACTATCCTTAAACCTAAAGCTATTACACCATTTATTTAATGTTTGATACAATTCTTTAGCAGTTGGTCTATTTTCTGCTTTAGCATCCCAACATTCAATAATTAATTCTGCAAGTAATTTTGGTGTATATTCAAAAATATTTGGTCTAAGTCCTTTACATATTTTAATAGCTAAAGCATGATTATGAGGAATATTATTATAAGGAGTTTCTTCAGATATATATTCATTAATCATTATTCCAAATGAATAAATATCAGATGCTTTTGTATATTGATATCCACGTAAAACATCTGGTGCTATATAAGGTAACACTCCATAAATTCTTCTTGTTTAACTAATTGCTTTTTATTATTTGCTGGTTGGCACATTCCTAAATCACTTATATATGGATGTCTATCACTATAATATAATATATTGCCTGAATGAAAATCTTTATGAATTTTTCCAGCATTATGAATATCTAGAAGTCCTCTTGCAATTTTTATTAATCTATAAAATTTTGAATAATAATCTGATTCATAATTCATATAATAATTTCTCAAATTTCCATATTCACAATATTCTAAAACCATCATATAATCTTTGGTATTTGGATCTTGAGTTATTCCATAACATTGAATAACATCAAGAAGATAAATCTGAAGATGAGTTTTAATCTAATAAAACATTGAAAGGAATTAATAAAATATAATATTAAGTAAATAAGTTACATTTCTTATTTTAATTACCTCATTTAAAAATTCTGTACTTATACAAGATGAATTATCCAAACTTTTTAATGCAACTTTTCTGCTATACCTTTTCCATCTATGATTTTTAATACCCCAAGAATCAATATATCCTTCAGGCTATTCAGCTGAGTAAATTTTACCAAATCCACCTCTGGTAATATAAGTAATATCTTTAAAATTTTCAAAAGGTATCCATTCAAGATATTTTCTATGGTGTACAGCATTAAGTTGTGATTGTTGTATAAATTCATCAATATCTTTATTTCCACTAGTCCAATTTTTCAATTTATCCTTAAATTTTTTAGCATTACAAGGTTGACACCAATCTTCTCCTGTGCCAGGTTCATTACATTCTCCACATATTCCATATACTTGTTTTCTTTTTTCTAAATCTTCCATATAAACTATTTTATCATCTACCTCTACTGCTGATTCAGCAGTTGAACCAATAGTAGAAATTGTAACATGTAACTTTTAAAATAAATAATTAAAAAAAAACATTATCATTGCTCAACTTAGAAATAAATAATGTTATATTATTAATGATAAAACGAATTGTTTTACCTGATATTCATCAACATAAACAAACTTCCATAAACTTCTTTTATTTTCTTTAGGATCCATTTTGATAATTCCAATGCTAATTAATTTGGATTGTATATATGTAGATTACAATTTACTTAGTAAATTCAAAGATAATATTTTTTTCTTTTTAACTGGTTAGCTTAAAAACTTTATTAGTAAATTCACATAATAAAGTGAAATGTAAAATTTTTTTTAAAAAATTACGGAATTCGGATTAAATTTATTTCAAAAAATAAGCCCTTATACAGCATGTGTAACATTCAAAAATTTGATATAAAAATTCTATTTATAGTAAATTGTTACGGGTGTTACGGCTGTTGCGCTACTATTGATCGGCATAAAAGAAAAAGGAAATTTTCAACAATCGGATTGAATGAACCCAAATAAAAATAATTCCTAACTTGTTGCGTTGCAACAGAATTAATATAGTTGAAATCAATATAACAATCAATATTTAGGTAAATTAAGATATATTAGTATCATTAATTATAAATAATTAAATATGTACAGAATAAAAAAAAACTTGAGAAGTAAATAAAAAAAAAATAAATAAATAAATTTCGGTTTGAAAAAAAACGAAAAAAAAAAATTTATTATATTTCGGTCTATTATAAGAACCGAAAAGAAGTAAGTTTATAAGAACTGAAAAACAATATAAAAAAAGCAAAAAGCCCATTATACTTTAACTGATGATGTGATCTGCTGCGGTCAATTGCATCATCCCGAGAGCCGACCAAATTCATTAACCACCACAAGGATTTGTGCTCATGACCATTTTAATTGGCGCAGAATCATCACGCATTTCACGTTGCACAATTCAAATTATTTATATGGGTAATATTTTTTTTGTAGATGTCAATCATCCAACTGATCAACTGATCTAAGCCATACCAAGATGGATTTCTCAATGGGGTAAAATTAGTAAAAATCATAAAATTTCGCATGATATAACATCCTTTTGGCGTTGGTGGTTCCCTCGGTTTGGGACGCAACAATACATCAAATAAATTGAAAATTTAATAAAAATTTTTTGAGTTAAAATATTTAAACGTAATTTATTAGATACTAATTAAAGCTACAAAATGACGTTGAGATTATCCAGTTTGGTTATCTAAATCAAAAGTTATTAACCTGTAAAATTCAGGTATTTTATATATAATTTTCAGATTTGATTCTGGTCAGTCATTATGATTTTTGCTGGAATATAAATAAAGTCTTAAAATTAATAAATTCAGCCGAATTACAGAGAAGTATTAACCACATGATTTATTTCTATCCAATCAACTTACCTAGCGTCACCTAGAAAAAATGGTAGCCGGATAGGTTTGCTGGCTACACGTGATTCGGAAACTGATTTCCGGTTACATTAATTGATTATAAATCAATTTTTACCTTTTTACCTTTTCATCAATATCTTTCTGTAATAATACTTACTTCGGAAGATGATGGCTATTCATGGGTTTATCGGAATAAAAATCAAAAAAAAGACTCTCTTCATATATTATATTATTGCAATTGTCGAATTGAAATTGGAAAACGGCAAGTAAAGCATCCTATATTAGATAAACAAAGAGACACATCTACCTATTTATAACGGTACCATTGTGAAGGAACAATAAATATAGAAATCTTATCAAAACTGGACTTAATCAAAGTTTAAAAATATTCTCATAAAATGTTACATCTACGACCAAGGCATGTTAATACTATGTATAAATTTCATATACAGATGCATTTTTAATCTTTACTAATGTCAAAATAATTTTTTTAGGCTAAAGAATTGTTAAAAGAATCATATAACAAACCAAAACGACATCTATGGTTAAAAATTGTTTGCAAAATTTCAGATTGTTGGAAAAGGTGAATAATTAAAAAAAGTGGCAAAATCGTTAATAAAACGACAATTTTATGGCAAAAATACCCTTGTCTACGCCTCCTTTACTTCGCCTTTCATTGGTAATATTGGTAATAATATGAAACAATGTAATCATGAAATAATTTGAAATACGTGTTACTATAGAAAAAGTTTCTAATTATAAACACTTGAGGAAGAGGATAGAAATTTCTGATCAAACAAAATAACAAACAACAAATTAAATAGATATTAAAGCACTAGAAAACTGTTGAACAATGCCAAAAACATGGAAAAACTTTAACAAAATTACAATGTATTGGGAATAAATAAAATAAATAATATCATAGCAATAAATAAAATTTCAGCAATTTTCTTAAAATACTTAAATATTTACTATATTAATTTATTCAGTTATTTATCGAAGTTTTTTTTACTACGTTATAATAAAAATTAACAAGCTAACCCAAAAATCGGTTTCCGAATCACGTGTAACCCGGAAAACCTATATCTTCCCGAGTATCACCGACACTTTTTCCACCCCCACGTGATTTTGTAATATTCATCACCGGCATCACACCCACCGCGTTTTCACTGTTTATATTTATCTGAGGGACTTAGTTATTTTTTGCCCCACAAAATTATTTTTTTCACATCCCTTTAAATGTCACCGGTCACGTGGGGGTGGAATTTTAATTATAAAAGTGTCGGTGATACTGGGGTAAATGAAAACCTATCCGGCTACCATTTTTTCTAGGCGACGCTAGGGTGGTTCTATCCAATCAAAAGTCAATATTAATTCAATCACGTGATTTTTATTTGAAACATATTTGATGATTTGTTGTGTCTCCCACTATAGTTATTCTAAAAATGTATAATGAAAATAAAGAAAAGAATTTCTCCGTAGAATTTTCCGCTACGTTTGCTAACTATCGTCAGGATTATTATTTTTAATGGAATTTGTGTAACGAAAGAATTCCTCTGTAGAATTTTCCGCCACGTTCGCTGCGCAATTAACGGAATTATCATTACCATCTTAGTAAATCAAATGAATTTATTAATGGTTAGTATATTACCATAATAGTATAAATATTGAAACTTTTATGATATTCTAAAAAAAAAATTTATTTGGCGCATGACAATAAAATAATATTATTAGTAATATCTTATTTTTCGTAAAGCATCATATTATACAATTACACTGTCACAATTATGGAAGAATTACATATTAGTGATGAGGTCTACAATCAAATAAACGAATTTCTACGTCCGGTATTAACTGACGAACAAAAATTACTAATTAATAAAGTTATACCATCAGAATTGTATGAAAGTTATATTAAATATGGATTATGTGAACGTTGCAGGCAAATTAGAACTCATTATACTTGGTGCCAAACTTGTAATTCTTTAATATTTAAAGAAAATTTCAAAAATTGGACAAGTGGAAATGCTAATATTGACAAATTTATTCAAGAAGCACAATTGAATGCTAAAGAATTTTGGCAAGTATTAGAATGGATAGATTATAGTCAATTTTCCAAAGTTAAATATATTGCAAAAGGTGGTTTTGGTACTGTTTATACAGCAATATGGAAAGAAGGATATATCGGTTCTTGGGATAATAAACTTAAAAAATGGAATAGGGATAAACAAAATTGTCGAGTGGCTTTAAAGTCTTTATATAATTCTCAACTTTTAGTACAAGAATTTTCAAAAGAGGTACAGTATGATATATATATGTACTTTTTTTTTAAAAAAAAAAAATAAAGATCTTGATAAAGACTTACAATTAATTATTAGGTTAAATTTCATTCGGAATTGAATTATCTTCCTAATTATATTAAATGTTACGGCGTATCCCAAGATCCTAATACAAAAAATTATATAATGGTAATGGATTACGCTTCTAGAGGTAGTCTTCGAAACTTTTTAAATGAAAGTTTTAAAGATATGAGTTGGAAAGATAAAATACTTTATATATCTTGGATTATTGATGGTTTGAAGGATATTCATGATAAAGATATAATTCATAGAGATTTTCATTCAGGAAATATCTTGATAAAAGATGCTCATAATTTTTGTATTGGTGATTTAGGTTTATGTGAAATAGATGATGGAAAATCTGTTAATAACGAAGACAAAAAAATATTTGGTGTATTACCTTATATTGCTCCTGAAGTATTAAAAGGTCAAAAATATACAAAAGCAGCTGATATTTACGCATTTGGTATTATAGCTTATGAGATTTTTACTGGATTGCCTCCATATTGTGATATACCACATGATCAATCTTTAGCTTCAGGAATTTGTAAAGGACTTCGTCCACAATCAAAAGATTATCATGTACCTCAACTACTCTTAGATTTGATTGAACAGTGTTGGAATACAGATCCTTTGAAACGACCAAGTGCAAAACAATTGAAAGATATGAACTCTAGATTTTTTAGTGATATATCTGTTGATAGAAGGGAAAAGGATCCCTTCTCAAAACAAGATCCTGATGAATCAGGAATATCTAAACAATGTGCTCAAGCAAATAAATTGAATAAAAAAGTAGATCAAAATAATTCAAAAATTTCGTATAAAACGCATCCACAAGCTGTTTATACTAGTAGGCTTTTGAATTTTAAAAATCTTTCAGATTCTCACAAATTTGATATTCCAGGTAATTTTTTTTTTAAAGAAATTTTCTCTATTTATTGTTAATTATAAACATATTGATTTTATTTCTTTATTCAGAATCTTTATATTTTGATCTTGATAGTTTTGATGAGGAAGAAGATCATGACGATAAGCTAAATATTTTATGTAATCAACAAAATGATTAATTTATTTATTTTTAAAAGATATTTTATTACCTTGAATACAATCTATGTATACCCTTTTTTCTTATGACCAATGATTAATAAATTATTTCAAATTTTATCATATATTAAAATTACTTATGGCATTTATTGACACGTCTCATATAATGTAAACCCTATTTAAAGATTAACAATTTGTAATAATAATAAGAGTAAAATACTAATAATGTCAGAACAAATGATAGTCCGAAGTGTAACGAAGCCACGAAGGACTATATACTTATACGCTTGATGATTACGTCATGTCCATTGATAAATGTTTAATTTCTTAGATGATTGAATAAATAAAAAAAAATTTAATTATATAAATTGTATAAAAATAAAATTGAAAAAATTATCCTAACTTTGATCCGCGTCTTTTCTTTTAAAAAATAAGTTTATGGCGAACGCAACAATCACGTGAACGTGACGGTCGTTGTCCGGTAATTTCCAATTATTCTGCTCATTTCAGGAACTGAACCAGGACCCAGAAATATATATATAAGGTTCAAGTGGCGAAAAATTTTTTTACTATGAGCTGTACGCAGAGACTTTTTATATAAGTAGTACACATGATTGACACCTGATATTGAAAATCCTGCAAAAATACGCAAATAAAATTTCAGACATTAAGTTATTAATTATTTTATCATGGCTTCTATATTATTTATAAAACCAAATACTAATGTGAAAAAATAGATTTTTTTCTAATTTACCATTTTTTCAATAATATTTTTTTAAAATTTCACTTTTTAACCCTTAGAAATTTCTTTCAATTAATACTAAATATTACAATGCGGTTAACGTACAGTCAATATATAAGATTAGCCAAATTTAGGCAAACTAATTTTTTACATATAAAAATTTCGACAATCTTGATGACCTAACTATGGATGAAAAATTCTTAGATTATACGCAAATCAAAACTTTACTCTGTCTAATTTCACTATGATGGCAACGCATCTGTGTACCCTACCCCTGTATATATACTGAGTATTTCTGGGTCCTACTGAACCTATGTTCCTTATTGTGATTTACTTCGGACTTAATACCGGTTTCCGTTTTCCTAGTTTATTATTAACTCTTGTACGCATTGTTTTAGAGCTAGAATTACCGTTAATGTCGGTCAGTCTCTTAAAATTTCTGCCGACATTATATAAAAGAAAAGATCTACATGGTTATTTATATGGAAAATCAACTCACTTTATGATCTTTCAGGAATATAGTTTAACACAAAACGTAAAATAATTTATATTGATCATAATTATAAACTGTGCATATAATCAAACTCAACAATATACTGTGTTACTAATGTGGACCTAAACAAATAGTCAGATGTCATCTGTGTTACCATTAAGATGTTGGAAGCTACTGTACATCACTACATCACTACATGCTACCGTCAGAAGTCAAAAAGGAAATTGCAACTATGCATTTGATTTATTGTAATTTCCTTTCTCGAATACTTATTTAAATATCCATATCGGCCAATTTTTGGAATGCTAACCAATTGACCAAAAGCGATTAGGTGTTTAGCCAGTGCCCAGTGATTTACATATATCTATATATAAAAAAAGGAAAGGCCCTAGACCAGGTGCGTCGATTGATTAGCATTCCAAAAAATCTTGAAAAAAAAAAATCTTTTCTCTTTTTCTTTAAAATAAAAAAGAAATAAAAGAAAAAAGGAAATATTAATTATGACAAATAATGTGAACTACGATGGCAAACATAAGGTAGTAGAAAATATGCTTGAAGGAGTAGGAATGTCGTTAAATGCATTGGAAGATACTGATACTGTGACTAATACAATAGTACCATTCTCAAAATTTATTCCATTGACAACGGAAGTAGTTAATTTATTAGATCAAATAATGGAATTATATCATTCAGCAGAACATAATAAAAGGATCTGTGGTGCTTTAATTGATAGGGTATCGGCAGCTGAATCGGCAATACGTAATTTAAAAATTCGTAGTGAACAAAATGAAAATTTCTTTAATCAAAAAAAATTGATATTATTACAAACATTAATAAATAATATTCACCAAATTAAGAGATTTGTTGAAGAAGTAGGTCAATTAAAAGGGTTAATAAAATATGCTCCAGTCAAAAGTATAGAAAAAAAATTTAAAGAATTATGCGGAGATTTTGATAGCAATGCAGCAGCTTTAAATTTTGCTAATACTGTTGATTCACGTAATCAAGCTGAAAATGATAAAAATGCTTTAAGACAAGATATGGATTACCTTATAAAATATATTGATGAAATTTTAGGAGGTATGACTAATATTAATAAATACGAGGATACAAGTGAAGCTCGTGGAAATAAGATCAGAAAATGTGTTAATAAAAAAAATGGGGAGATAGTAGGATTTAAATGCATTGCGGATGAAAAGGATAATGAAGGTTCTATGAATAATGTTAAGGATCAAATTTCCATATTGGAAAAATTACTAGTTTGTGATAATATTTTAAAATTTTATGGAGTAATTTATAATGAAGAAAGATGGTATCTAATAACCGAATGGGCTGAACTTGGTAATTTAAAGGAATATTATAATAACTATGATTTTGATGTTAAAAAGAAATTGAGATTTGCTGCTGATATTGCAAGAGGTCTAAATTTCCTAAGAGCCATTAAAGTAAGTGAATTAATAAATTCCAAATTTTTAATCTTATTCCATCAAATAAATTCTCAATATATCAATTGTTTATTTAGATTGTTCATAGAGACATAAGAGCGGAAAATATTTTAATCACTGCTAATGAAATTGCTAAGATTGCAAATTTTAAATCGAGCAGAACGTTTGATCGGGAAACGAAGGAACTAAGTGCAATACAAGAAACTGTTCGTTACTTGGCCCCTGAAATGTTAGGACAAAGAAGAGTAAAATATACTACTAGATGTGAAGTTTATAGTTTTGGTATTTTACTTTGGGAGATTGCTGAACAAAAAACTCCATACGAAAATTACAATGATATTTTAAAAATTACCGACCTTGTTGTTAGACAAAAGTATCGGGAACCATTTTCTTTAGGTAACGGTTTGCCAAAAAAATATCAAGAAATTGCAAAAGAAGGTATTTATATTAAAATAATTAGTTATTATATTTAAAATTAAAAAGTTTTTTCTAAAATCCCTTTCGCTCTTTCATCTTAGCTGTTGAGCATGATCCAAGTTATAGACCCGGATTTTCAAAAATTTTTACAACGCTTCAAGAACTTTATAAAAATTATGGGATACCATCGCTTCTTTCTTCGTATCATGGTAAAGTTTTGAATCAAAAACAGCAACCAGACAGTAAGTTTTAATTCGACCTTATAGTAACTATTCCTATTTTACTAGAATATAAATTAAGAAAAATTGCAGGCAGTAATTTAACTTTTTAATAATAATTTTTTTTTTTTACAGAAGTAATAGCAAAAGCGAATATTAATGATTCAGGTATATTTTGGAAATAATTTAATGAAAACAAGTTTAACTAAAAACTGATGAATATTAGTTTAAATATAATAGGTAATTATTCGGATTGGTTAGAAAAATCAATTGCCGAAGAATTTATCACAAATTATGATTATTCAGAATTTGAGATAATACGAAAGATAGGAAAAGGTTCATTTGGAAGTGTCTGCTGTGCTTATTGGAAAAATACCGATTAAGTTTTTGCCTTAAAAAGTTTCAAAGGTGTTAAGACTACATTAAAAGAAGTTGTTAATGAGGTATTAAATTTATATATAAATTTAAAAAATATTTTTTGATTTTTACTAATTAAATTTTTTACAGATAAAATTACAAAAAAGAGTGGATTTTCATGAAAATATTTTACGATTTTATGGAATCACAATGATAAAAAAAGATGGTAAATCTGCATATAATATATAATATTTCTAATTTTTTTTTTTTAAAAAAAAAACATATTTAATGAATAGTAATTAATTTTTTTTAATGTATATCTACTAGATAAAATTCAAAAATACGCACTTGTTTTGGAATATGCTGATAGCGATACATTAAGGACTTACCTACGTGATCATTTTAATGACCTCAGATGGGATGATAAATACCAGTTTGCGTTCCAACTAGCAAGCGCGATAGAGTGCATACATAAATGTGGCATTATTCATTGTGATTTGGTAATGATTTAAATTTTCTGATTTTCAATATTGATTTTAGCTAATTATAATAAACTCTTTTCATTTAAATAAAATAGCATTCTGACAATGTATTTATACACCAGAAAAAGATAAAACTGGCAGATTTTGGTTTATCAAGAAAGATTTCTAATTCAAGTAATAATTCAAAAATGTTTGGTTCTATACCATATGTCGATCCAAAAAAGTTAAATTGTCAGCAAAATTACAAATTGAATGAAAAGTCTGATGTATATAGTTTCGGTGTTCTAATGTGGCAAATTTCAAGTGGAAAACAACCATATGGTGATAATTATGACGTAAGTCTAGCTTTATCAATAATAGATGGAAAAAGAGAAGAAATTATTGACGGAACTCCTGCTGAATATAGTAAATTATATACAGGTAATAATAATTAATTCTATTATTTAATTATTGTTTTAATTAACGTTAAAATTATATTCTATTTGATTAGAATGTTGGGAAAATGAACCAAATAAACGTCCAGATATGCAAGATATCGTTTCTACTCTTAAAGCTATAATTTCTCCTAAACAAAATGATACAAACTTTGACTACGTTAATGAAAAAGACGTTTTATTAGAAAAACCAAAAGCAATCCTAAAATTGAATGAAGAAACTATAGATATAAATAAGAGTTTAGCAATATGTTCTGATATTACTATATCAAACAATGTCGAATCTGAGAACAATTTAAGCTTGCAAAATTAATTATCTAATTTTTATATTGGAATTGCATATTAATGTAGTTACAATTTTATTTATTATATTTTGTTTTACTTATTTAGAATCTTCCCAATTAAGTGGATTAATAATGTCAGTGCATTAACTAAATTGGATGATGAAGACAATTAAAGTTTATGATTTTATTTAATAGGGGATAGACTGGCCCTATTTTGTTCAGTCTGATAAGCAAAAATTACGTTCCTGATCGTGTACGACTCGCTTACATTCTTGACCCGGTCAAAATATGTTATGCATGACAAAAATGTTCTTTTCTTGACCTGCAAAAAAACATTAACGCGTTTTTATTTTATCTTATTTTCATATATATTTTTTCATTAATATGATAACAAAATTTTTTATTTATATTCAACATTTTTTTTTATTTTAATCTATTAGTTTTATGCGGGTTGTGATTAGTATTTATTACATAGTTACTTGATTTACTTTTTTTCTTAAATGTAATTTATCATCTTTCGTAAATAAAATAAATTAAATTAAAATATTGGAAATTGCTAACCGTCGCCTGGGCGATTGTCATTGTCGCCTGGGTGATTATCTGGGTCTTCGATCACGTGACAGATTTAATATTTTGATTGGCCAGATTGGCCACATGATCGCGTCATGTTTAGAATCTCGTTTTCGTTTCCTCGGTTCTTTCGGTCTCAAGGTATTTTCCTTTCTTTTACTTTTATTTCTAACTTACATTCTGCTTACACTTTGTTTCTTACTACTCTATTTCATTATTTTTAGGTCCTTTAGTCCTTCCGGTTCTGCAATTAAGGTTCAGTTGTTTTTCACTTTACGTTTCGTTTCTTACTCATTTTTTTTTTTTATTTATTTTGTTTCTGTTTCATATTTCATTTTTCACTAATTTTATTTCATTTTTTTTTTTAGATATTTTAGTTCTTTCGGTTTTACAATTAATAAAGGTATATTTTTTTATTTTTTTTTTTTTTTTTTTTTTTTTTTTTTTTTTTTTTTTTTTTTTTTTTTTTTTTTTTTTTTTTTTCT